TGTTTCAGCAAGCACAGTCCTGGATTTTAGTTGATTTGATTCCGATTGTTTGAAGAGAAGCGGGATAGCTTTTGTTGACACACGTTGGTTCCAGCCCAGCCAGAAAAAATCATAAAACACAAACATAGGTTGCTGGATCGTTCCAGCCAGCGTGTGTCATTTGGTCCGTCGCTTTGTTCCAGCCACGCGATCCGCGAGGATCGTGTCGGCTCGCGCATGGCGCTTCCGGCGTTGCAGCCGGACTTGGACCGCGAGGCGGTGGAGTTTCTGGGGATCACCACCGAGAACCTCACCAGCAAGATGTACGCCTTGCCTCAGGCGAGACCCGGAGAAATCATCTCATGTCCCCGCGTGCGTTGTGAGATGGACCAAGAGGAAACAAGACAAAAGACCCCCCCCCCCCCGCCGCGGTTTTGGCATTTTCTTGGTTTTTGGACGTACATGGTTGTTTGAAGCCAGGGGCGGCTTGCGGGCCTTACAGTAATCAGGGCGGTTTTCATGCTTGCGTTCTGGTTAGCAAGGAAGACCTGGGCCAAACCGGGTTCGTTTCGCGCCTCGCTTTGAATTCATCTACAGTCCCTCACCCAATTATTAAGTGGGTGAGACCAATTCCGAGGCCATCCCTTTCCATCCATGTTCCCTTCTGTTTCCCCCGGGTTCGTCCCGTAGCCGACCGCGCCGCCCGTTTGCCCGGCCGCAGGGCAGGAGCTCCTCGGCGCCGTGCACCGTGGCGCTGCAGGGCTGCGGCGTGCTCCACGTCTTGGACGGCGAGCTGCGCTTCGCGCGGGCGGACGCCGAGGACGCAAAGCAAGTGTCGCGGGCATGCGGGGGCGGGCATGGGGGGGGCATGCGGGGGCGGTGGATGAGGTGGGGTGTCGCGTATTCAGGGAGTCCTCCAGGTATCCTTTTTGTTGAACCTCCCAAAATGGCGATCCTTTGGACTTTTTCAGGCAGAAATCCAGTGACTCTGGCGCTCGGAGCTGCGTTTGGGGTAACGAGTTGCGAGGAGCTGCTGCTGCCGCAGGGAAGCACCATGCTGGTGAAGGGCGCAGGTGTCCACCGGACCGGGGAAACATGGATAATTACGGCGATCGTCCAGTGAGAAGAAATGGGACTGGGAATACTTGGTGGTTCCCAGCCGCCCAGTTCCTTAGGTTTTGTAGGTTTTGAGTTGGTTTGGTGGGGGGGTCCGTTTGACCCACTAAAAGTTAAACTTCCGGCAGGGGATCTGGGGACAGCTTAGCCAAAAGGGCTGAAACCCGGGCAATCAAACACACAAGCAAGATCAAACAAGCTGGTTTCGACTCTGCACACAAGGCCCATTCAGATGATGAAACTCAGGTAACGGCAGACATATTTAGATCACATTAGACATAGAATTCCAATGTGAACAACATAATAGAAATTAGTCTTTGCCCTTCTATCTATTTCTGTCATCTATGCTCTATTCCTTACTGCTATTTTTTTTCAAATCTAATTATTGGCTATCGGTTCATTCATTCGTTGTTGCTTCTGCTGGTCATTTTTTGAGTATGACATCTCTTCAGCTCTTACCTCTATCTCTTGTCATTCTTAGTCTGCATCTTGCTCAAATGGCTGTGGCTCAAAAAACCGGTATCAAGTGGAATTTTGAGCCACAGCCATAAATAGGTCCGACCCCGACGTTTGACTTGGGCAGGCACCAAGCTTTTGGCGCCTGTCGCGGATGGACACGCGGGCGACCTGGGCGCGCGCTTCCTGTGGGTGGAGTCTCACTGAGCCAATGCAAAGGGCGGGGATGTGGCTCAAGATGGGTCTTGGGTGTCTTTTTTGGAGTTGGAACCCCCTTTTTGGTGGAAAGCCAAAGGGACAACTACCAGTTTGGTGTGATGAAAGGAGACCACCCATTTTTTATTTGTTTTTTCCGAGCGGGGGATTTCCCGAGTTATTTTTTGAGACAAATCCCTCTGGCTTCCTTTGACAGAACCGAAAGATAATGAGCCTGAATGAAATGGCTTTGGGGTTTGGCAAGGGTCTGAAAATGGCTGAGGACGTTGCGTGGTTGCGGTTTGACTTTTGGCTTCCCTTTAAAAAAACACAAGGCGACCCTCAAAGAAGAGCATGGTTTTAAATTTGGCACAAATCCATTTCTTTTGTGATGTTCACCAAACAGTCCCCAATTGAAATTCAGATGTTTCCCTGTCAGGAAGTGGACAGAACCCAAACATCCCTGCCCGCAGTAGGTTGTGAAGGTCAATGTATTCTGTTCTGCTTCCGGAGCTCGGACGATTCTATCCTCAAGCCACGGATCCTGGGCCCCGGACTCGTCTTTTGGTCCTTTGGGTACCTTGGAGAAGCTTCGGATGGCGGAACCCAGAGCAGCTGTGAGCACCGCGAGTCAACCGAGCAGCGCGACTTGCACTTGGTGAATCATGGACCTCCAGAAAGCGGCGTTCTGCGGGGCCCTATCCCTGGACTAGCCTGGGATGAAGCCAAGGCGAAGCCCCGGAAGAAAGTTGTGAAGGGTGTAAGAAGTAGAAAGCCCCTCCTCTCCATTGAAGGTCTACGGTAGGACTTCGTGGCGGGGCTCATTTGCTTGAGTTGCCTCGCTGCATTTTTTGCTGCTCAAGGCACGAGAGACTTGCAAGACGCAGCAAGAATCACCCAAATATCAGGAGTCGTTATCTCAGCATAGCCACAACATTTTGCAGTCCTTGTGCCTTTGCCAGTTGGCGCCCCCAGGTTTGCCCTGCCTGGTTGATGTCTATGTGCCACCTCTTTGACAGCACTGATTCAGAGTCCAAAAAGAGCCACGGGGTGGCGCTTGCGAGTCAACTCATCAGTCCATCGGGGTTCAAAAGGTCCTTCTCACGGGATGGCCAGGGGTTTGGAAACCACCCCAAAAACGGCCACCTTCCAAATGATTCACTCTGGTCGTTTGGGGGCGAGGAACTTTGATCGACTTGAGGACGTGAGGGGCCAACCCAAAACTTCCTGGGAAGAGGGGGGGTGGCGCGCACCAATGTTCGTGTCCTTTTCTGTCCCTTTAAAAGGCCAATCAAAAGGGTTTCTTCTTTCCGGGACCTGTCGGCAGTGCTGTCAGCGGACGCGCCACAAGCAGAACAAACAACAATGTAACTCTTCTTCTTCGCGGCGCCAGTTGGGGTCCTTGCCCGGTGCCCTGGACACGGATGCACCGCCAACAACAAAGCATCAAAACAAAATCGGCCACCAAAAACCGACCTGAGACAAAACAATGTAACTCGCCACATCCGCCAAGTCGCCAGGATGGCGATGAGCCAAGCCCCGCGCCAAGCGAGCTTTCGACTCCGCGAGTCTCAGGCGCCGTTGGAATTCTCTCGCTAGGCCAATGGTCCGGTGAGCCCATCGCCGGATATGCCGGCGCCCAAGCCCGTGGGCAACTTAAAAGTTGGGGGGGGGGGGGGGGGCGATAGATTCTTCAAAGCATCCGGCTTTTCATGCCGCGTCTTCTTGCGAAACCAGGAGTTGTAGGTCCATTTTTGAGAACTTGGCGAGAAGGACATGGCTTATGAGTGTCCTAATTTTTGAGCCCATTACAATTAGACTATGATAGATATGTTTCTTGTTCCCCCAAGGTGCCAAGGAGTGTTGCTGAGTTGGACTGCGTGTACTTTTTTTTTGGAAAAAACTCTTGCAGACAGATATGACCAATTTCATGTTATGCAATTCCTGTTTTGTTCCCATTATTTCTATTCAGATTCCTCTTCGTTCATCAGGGTTGACTGACTGCCACTCAGGTTGGAGAGCTACAGCTTTCTGGAAGACGCGGCGGAGGAGTTGCGTTTTCCTTGTCAGGATCCCTTCCAAGCCACAGCAGAACATGACTTTTGCTTCTATATAAACCAGCTACGGGATTGAAACGGGAAATCTCCAAACACCCGCAAACAAGATCAAACAAGCGCATTGCCTATCGAATGTTTCCCCTTTCTGCTTGTTTCTTGGGCTCTAGATTCTACGCGTTTCTGTTTGGTTCCCCCGGCCGTTTCCCGGTCGGATCTTCTGGCATCCACTTGGTGTGTCATTTTTTCAGGGGCCCTTTGCAGGTGGTAAGGCGAAGCAAAAGGACAGGAGGACCACACAAATCGATACCAAGCCTGTAAAAGAGACACACCCACTGCCCATGTGATATCATGTGATGATTGACGCATACCCATTTGGGTGTTCTTTGTTTGGAGATATTTACGGGAACTCCAAGAAGACAACGCCGTTTTGAGGACCGAATCCTTTTTCTGAGCACCCATGTGGTGCTGACCGCGAGGCCAGCACCCGAAAGGGCCAGGTCGCCAAAGCGCTGCCAGAGCTCAAGGCGGCGACAGAGTCTCGTGTCGACTCGTCTCGGGGTGTCTGAGACGTAGCCCCTAAAATGGCCTTCCTTTGGGTTTCTCTTTAAGGAAACCCCCGTTCCGGGTACTTTTCGCCTCAAAGAACGTGCCATACCAAAAATTTGGATGCTTCTCAACATAGGATTCGCCCCTTAATTAAAATGGAACAAAGGCGCAAAGGGGGTCCGAATCTCGCGTGTGGGTCGCGTTTAGGCCGCAGCGGAAGCTGCCAAAGAAAGCCAGATGCTCAGCGACGTCTGGACACTGGAGGTATATGCTAGGTCCCCCAGTGCCCTTCTCTCCCCTTTTTGAAAAAAAGGGTTCCCCTACCAAAACCGACTACAGAAAAAACCGGGTACCCTTGTTCTAACCTCTCTACTGGAAAGCACGGGTACGCGCCACGCGCGCCGAGCGCCGAGCGCCGAGGCGGAGACGCGCGGCTGGAGGTCCAGCTGCGGAACTTGCTGGCCCGCGGCTGCGTGATCCTGGGTGATCCAGCCTGCGCCTCACGGGGCACGGGAACCGCACGGGGTTTTCATGGGGTGTCTTGGTGTCTTGGGGCGCGGCAAATGGACCATGGCTTCATTTCTTTTTGGTTTCCCTGTAAACCGCCCCCCAAAAACGAGGACCCCTGAAAAACGACAGACCCATTCGAGTTGAAAAGAGATTGGGGTTCAACCCCAAAACCCGCCAATCCAACCAGAGAAGCAGTTTTGATCCATGGATTCAGGAATTTCTGGTTGATTCTGATGGGTCCCATTTCAATGGGGGGTCCATTTCAACTTGGGGAAACTCCTTTTCATCGTCTGGCTTTGAAATGCAGACCCTGTGGAGTGGATGTATGCAACCATCAGCCATGGCCAAGTGCCGAGTACTCAATCGAATCGGACGCCCAAAAGGCGTCTCTTTTCCCAACCTTTCTCAAAGGACACCACTTGGGCTTGTATATATTTTTAAAGGAATCGGCCCCACACTTTGAATAGAATTTCCAGTTTCCTGGTGGAATTTCTTTAACGCCACAAAACAGGTTGGTGCCAACTTGACAAGACGCGTAGCACTTGACGCCCCGATCCGCGAGGACACCGCGATGCAGGAGGCGGAGGCCAGCGCTGCCCAGCTGGAAGGGCTCCAGGCGCGGAAGTGGGGCCGCAGGGGCCGCGGAGTTTGGCCCATGTTTCCATGTACCCATGTACCTATGTGGGAAACATTTACCCTGTGTTGGTTCATGTTTCGGTCCATGTTTCTATTTTGGTCCATTTACCGCAAGCCATTTTGGACATGGTTGCCAACGATTTTTCACCACAGCCAAGTTCTGACAGCGAAAGGACGTCAAGGATTCGGTACGTGGCCCAAGTCAGAGCCACGGGTTGGAGTGGATTCGGAGGTGAGCTTGTGGTTCAATTGGGCATTTGAAGCTTCAACAGCCTGGAAATCAACCCATTCTTATTTGGTGGTGTGGATTTGAACTACCCACCTTCCCGCCAAGCCAATCCAAGCCATCAGTTAATGAGCTAGTGCGTGGGTGTGGGGGTGGATCCCCCTCCCTCCCAACTTGACATGGCCTGAGGGGGAAACTTTAGAAGATATTAATCTTCCATGTCCCAGCTCTCAGCTTTCAGCTTCTTCGTTTTTGCAAAGGCCCGAAAAGTGTTAGCTGCCTTTCTGGCTAATGAGTCATGATAACCCCTTGCACCACTTGTGCGCGTATCTCTTTGTTCGGGGACCCCAAGATACTCGTTTTTTTCCTTTTTTTTTTTCCGTTTACACCACCAACAAAAGGTACCCTCAAAGAAGCACGCACTCTTTGTTTTGTGGCGCGGCTTCAGGATAAGAGCTTAGAAGCAAAGCATCACTTGACGGCCCGGCGCTCGGGATCAAGTGCCGAATCCCCAAGCGCGGGCAGTCGAAGAGCGCGGGCCCATGGCAGATGGCTGTGGTTGTCAAAACCAATGGTACCATTTTGGGGTAGGTGCACCACCCATTTTAGTCTATTTTGGTGGATACCCTTTTTGAGGTTGCTTAGGGATCCAAGTCGAATCCAAAGCACTGCCATGGTTCCATATTTGAGACAAACCATTGTGCTCAACACAAGTTCGCGCCACACGCATTGGATGCGTCCCAGGTTTCACGAATTCATTTCAAGATGAATGACTTCGAGTCTGCTGTGCAGGTGGGTGTGTGATTGCAATCACAAGGAGCTTGGGGTATACAAAGCGAGTGAACAGAGAATGAGATGCCTTATTTCCGTGTCGTGGATTATGGGAACTTGCCCAGCCCTCTATTTTGCGGAAGTTCTCCGACCTTTTCGGGGGGTTCCAATTTTCATGTTTCACTTGTCCACATGCTCCCAAGTGATTTTTCGTGATTTTCCCGTTATTTTTTCCTCTGCGGTTTTCGGCCTTCCAGATAACACCTGGGACATCGGCAGTTGTGCCTGCGTCGCGGGTGCCAGGCGGTCCGAGAGGCGCAGTGGGAGAATCTGCCACCAGAGCTTCCCCTGCAACTTCCCATGGAATCCAAAACGCATCCCCCCCCCACCCAAAACAAAAAGAGGGAGGTTGCTCTAGACAAGATGACTTCTCGGGTTCCATGGCACTGTGGAGGAGTCCCGTTTGTTTGGGGCCTTGGGGAAGGTCACTGTCGTAGGTTTCGGGTCGCGTCGATCGGAATGGACAGGCGATCGCCATCTACCAGGAGCGGGGAGAGGGCAAGAAAGAGGCGGCGGCTTTCTATGAGTGCCCCCCTCAGATGCCCAGCTCCCCCGCGGTTCTGTTGGCTGGTTTGGTTTTTTGTTTTGGTTTCGCGTGGACTCCCAACAAGGGTTGCGAGCAGTACGAGATTCCTCCAAAATCAACGGTGCGGGTGGGATTCCATGGTCAATCTGCGCCCGAGTCGGCAAGCAAGTTGTTCAAGTCGGGCTTTCTGGGGAACATGAGGGGTTGCCAAGATCGCATTCCCGTGTCGCCTCGATGCGGATCGATGCGGTTCCTCAGACCATGGAGTCAGCAGCTCAGGCTGGCTGGAGTTTGTATGGATTATGGGAACCTGAACGAAGGGCACCAAGCCGCCGACAAGGCGGCGGCTGCGTGCATGCAGTCTTGCTTTGTCTTGCTTTGCTATACATTCCCCCTGCGCACCTCTAGATTCCACCAGGTTGGCAAGGCGTCATAGAATGGTTGTAATTAGTATGCCCGACTTTCTTTTTTTCGGGGGGGGGGGGGGGTGAGAGCAGCAGCCAGCCCGGTATGCAGCCGGGGTATTGCATCACCCGGATGTTCGGCGCGCAGGCTCAGGGGCTTTGGCAAAATGAGGGCGACAGGAAGGAAGAGATCAAGGTCCGTCTCCTTGGCTCATTGCAGCCAAGACCTGGGTTGATGTTCGACTCCCACCAAACATGGAAGTCCTTTTTGGAGGTTTGCAAAGGATTTCAGTGCACTCCAAAGTGATATGCATCCCCGAAATCTTGACGACCATTTCGGGCCCGGGATCCCATTCAACTTCACACCTATGGCCCAATGGCTCCTTTCCCATTTCGGCGCCTTTCGAGGCCATGCTGCCGCAAGCTGAGAATCGAGGGTATGTCGAGCATGCGGCGCATGTGCCCAGAAGGCTCCCATGGCATCGCCGGATAGCTGGGTCCTAAAGCGCCCATGAAGGTTCAGTTTGCGCAAAGCGTAACGGGGAGGGTGTGTTTCCCTGTTGTTTGCCAGACTCCCTGTTGGGCATCCATGTAAATCTCCTGCGTTTTGCTTTCCAAGGCGCCTGGCAGAGATTGTCGCCATGAAAGGCGGGCGCAGCATTTGGGGGGCGATTCCAGAAATCGAAAATTCGTCCCCCCGAAAAGGGAGATGTTTGAGAAGCCACGCTTTTTTTCTCCGAGAATGGCAGGGAGGGGGTCCTTAGAGCAGCGCCAATTTGAGTCAGTGACAATATTGCTGGTAGGCTACCGTTGGTTTGAGGAGTCCTTCGGGGAAACGCAACATGGGTGTGTCTCTTTCTGAATGTACCCTTTTAGGTGGCTTCAGGGAAAACCGGGAAAACCACACAAAGTGTCTGCAAGCTTAGGTCAGATGGATGAGGCGATTGATATGGCGGAGGAGGCAACATCGACTGCCTTGGAGTGCAAGACACCTTCCACTGAGGTTCTCTTGAGCGGTTTGGTGGAAACCAGCACAGACAGGCGCGTGGTTTTGTGTTTGTGGTGTGGCTCAAGCTGAAGCAAACCTGAGGCGAAATACAAGATAGTTTGAGCCAGTTGAAAAGCCTTATCGGCATTCATATTTATAATATAGCAACCTTCGGCATTTATAAAGCGGCAGTCATCTTTTATTTAGCAACATGTGCGGTTTCAGCCAAAATCACCATTCATACTGCCGCCGCTTCGAGCGATCCAAGCTTGGAGCCCGGTGGCTCGATGGCATGACGGTGGACATTCTGGACCAGTCACCGCTTCTGGGCTGGAGGGATTTCTGTGCGATCGAATCTCCGCCTAGCGGGAAGCCGATCAATATTACCTGATGGGTTGGTGGTTCCAGACAGCCACTGGCAAGTTTCGTCACGTCAAAATGGGTCCGACTTGGGTCCCAGTCGGGCCCCCTAAGTCAAAGGCGAGTGGTACAACCTTGCGCCCCGAAAACATGGGCCCGGAAAGGTGGTTTGGGATTGCCTTCCGTGAAAGCTGGCAGCAAAAGGGCTCTGCAGGGGCCCTTGCGAGGGTATAGCGGTAAGCCGAAGCGGGCCAATTCTAAGGCTCAAGAGGCTTCTGAGCTGCCTGTTCCGCAAACCCTTGGCCGAGGCGGGCCGATGGTTTTCTTTCCAAGAAATCAATCGGATCGCCTGAGTTTTCCTTTCACACATCAAAACTGGGAACGCAGGGTGGGTGGGTGGGTGGGTGGGTGGGTGGGTGGGTGGGTGGGTGGGTGGGTGGGTGGGTGAGTGGGTGGGTGGGTGGGTGGGTGGGTGGGTGGGTGGATGGGTGGGTGGGTCACTCCTTTTTGTGTTGTGTGTGTGTGTGTTTTCTTTAATTATTGGGGGTTTGGGGGGGGGGGCTGCTCCTTTGTCCCACCTGAAAGCATTAACAAGGATCTCTCAGCATGGTTTTGGGTCAGGATTGCCCGTGATTTGGTTAGCCCTGTTGAGCCACAATTAGCCACTGCCGGTTTCTAGCCGCCAGCTTTTGCATGCACAACGCATTTATATGATCAAACAAATCTCAAGTTCCAGTGCAGAAGTTGTTGCATTCTTGTACGATTTCCTTTGACGTTTTGATCCTAACGAAAGCCCTGAGATCCTTTGAAGGTCAGAATTCTCCAACTTTCCTTCCCAAATGGTCTCTCTTTCTTGTGATTAGTGGCAGGTCACAATGCGTGGGATCCGGGTTTTCCCTTGAAACACCATGGATCCAATCTCCTCTGATGTGTTGCAAGCTCACAGGGCGCCACTGGGTTCCTGATTTCCAGGCTGTGAATTTCAAATGCCTACGCATGATGTCCACCAAACAGTCCGCCATGAAAGCTCACACCATGGGAATAGTAAAAGGGTGCTATCGTTTTGTTTGTTCGCTGGATGCAGATATTTGGCCATTAACCACTCAAATCCCACCCTAAACTCACCTGAAACCCAAACCTACCCCACGCCCACTCTTGCCTAAAAACATTGTCAACTGCGGGGAGGGTCTCCCTCGTTCCAAATGGATGGTTTGCCTCGAATTCCCCTGGATCAGGATCACCTCTGCCAGGATGGGGACCCCTCCAAACAATCCAATCCACTTTTGGGGGCATGCGTCAGCTAGGATTGGGAGAGTCACAAGCCAAGGGACCCGAATTAACCTCACCACCAATCCACTTGGAATGCGGATCACCGATCTTACCTTAGGGACTCAACATGGAAGGGGACCACCCCGAACCTCCAGACACCAATCTAATCCTCTTATTTGGGGCACACAAGCCATGAATTAACATGTGTGTGTGCGCGCGTGCGTGTGTCTTGAGGGAACCATTCTTAGAGCGACCGCAAGCAACACCACCAAGCAAAGCCTTCCAGACTGGCTTTATGTGTGTGAAAGCCCATGAAGAAAGCCGCCCGTTTTTTCCTTTTGGGCCGATTGAGCCAAACCCAGGGCCCGGCACTCGGCCTCGACTTCCTGGCGCTGCCAGAAGGCGCCTGCGACGTGCTTGTGCCCTCCCGTGCCTCAGCAAATCAATGGCTGGGGGAATCTGCTGCGCTGACCCGCCGCAAAGGGCCGGGGCTCGATTTTTAAGGGGGTTCAGCGCTGCAGCGGTTCACGAAAAGTGGGGTAGTGAAGCGAACAGCTGCCCGCGGCGGTTCACGAAAAGTAGGTGAGGTCTTCGTTGGCCGCCCACCATACTCTTGCTGCCCCGTGCTATGTCGCGGCTGGTTTGCGCAGGGCTGTCCGGGGTTGGGGGGGGGCGGGGGTGCCTGGGCACGGTGGAAGTTGTTTCGCGTATGTTTTCTTTTGGGCGGTGTTTCTGGATTGCTTTTTAGGGGGAATTCCTGTCCTGCGTTTCCTTGGGACCCTCCCTTTCTTTGCAGCCCTGCAAGGAAGGAATGTGTCCGAAGCCGCAGCCGATGTGTCAGCTGGAAACCTGGGCAGCTTAAACTAAACATCCTAAAAACTCTCCGGTCCTCGGCATTTTCTGTTTTCTTGTCTGTTGTGTTGCGTTTTTCCAAATTAAGTGTGGTTTTCATCTGCAGACGGCTGCAAGGAAGAAGGCTTCTGCGGGGTTTGGGAAGTACGGGGCTCTATACCTCTTGGGCACCGGATCTGACGTCGGATCTCGAGGTTTCCCAGGGGTGGCCTCCGGCAAACCTTTGGCTCCATGGAAGCTGGTGGAGGACCCGGACACCTTGCCTCACTTGCCGGCGCCGCCGGGGTTTGAGCTGAAGGGCAAGGCGCCTTTGCTTCGACTCCGAAATTCCGAAAAGGGATGAAACCAGGAGAACCTAAAGTCAGTTTCCCTTGGTCGTGTTTGGTTCTTGGTGTTGCTTGGTGTTCTTTCATTTCTTTTGGCTTCCTTTGCCGACTGCGGATGGATTCGGTCAAATTCTTGGGAACGCAGGCCAAGGGCAAGGGCGCGCACCGCGCGGTGAAGGGCAAGGCCAATGGCATTGCAAGCCCTGAGCCTAGCGTCGAGGTCTTGTCCACAAACCGCGCCCCACGGGAAATTCGAATGGGAACCCTTCAATATAGTGGTGTGCCCCCCACCCTCCCCCATTTTTCTCGTTTTTTGTTGGTTGGTTTAGAGGATATGTCCCCAAGAAGCGCTTCACATCCTGCAAACCGTGGCGTGCGAAGCTGCTCCACTGGCTGTGATCCGAGGTTTCTCCAACCAAAAGGGCCGAGGAAGGGCCAAGGGCGATAGCGCCTTCCAGCGATCGCAGGCAGCGACCAACTTGCGGTCTGAGGTGCAAACGGGTGCCCCTTTTGGGGTTGGTTTAAATGGAAACCCAAGGTATACACCACTCATCTTGGCTCAACTGGGTGTGTTTTGTCCCTTGCCTTCTTGCCTTTGACTGCCGAGGGGCAACCATGCAAGGCAGGCTCGCTGGCGGTTGGGCGCTTTGACGTGGAGGAGAACCAGGCCTCGAGAGTCGAGCCATTCGCCGTTCCGTGACAAGCACAGAGATTTTAAACCCTACAAAAGGCGCCACTGCCCGGGTCCAAACAAGGGTAAGGCTTTGACATCCCCAGTGCAAAATCGTTTCAGTCGGTTTCGCCCCAAATCTTCCCCAGAATTAGCTCCCCCTTTTTGTTTATTCTTCTTATTTTTGCCTTTTTTTGTGGTCCCTTGGTTGTCCACTAACCAGGCAAAAATATTATATATTTTTTGCTGGGGTCCGAATTCCAGCCCAGAAATGTCCGCGCAGGTGCCAGACTTTGGGTGCTTCTCTCCCGAGGAGCTGAGAGCCGGCACCTCCAGCTGCACCGCACATATTGAGGCTCAAGGCGATCTCGGTCAGTTCTCACCTGGGCTTCTGGTCAAAATGAAACCACCAGGAAAGCCGCGGGTTTTGGTCCATGTTGCAACCCTTACCAGGGTAAGCCATTTTGGAAATGGTTACCCCATTTTTGACCTGCCACATGTTCTGACCGTGTTTTATGGTGAACTGGTAAGAGAAGGGATCCCTTCACCTCAAAGGTGAGAAAAATGCAAGGCCTGCATCCCAGCGGCTGGTTCCTTGAACTTTGGTGAGCATGTCATGCCCTTGCCAGCTGGCGTTTCTTGAGTCTCAAACTGCTTCTCTTGCAGGCTGCTGCATGATTCCCAACTGCCTGCCGAGCGATATGTGCGACAGACTTCAGGAGCCTGGACGGGATTGAGTGCAGAAAGTGGGGTCAACCGGTTCAAGCGCATTTCCTACTTTGCCATTTGCAGGGCACCTGTTGCCCAAAAACAGGGGTAACCAGAACAAAAGTCAACCCGCCCAAATGGCGCGCTCATTGGGCGGAAACGTGCTGTGCCCTTCTGTCAGCTTCCATGTTGGAAAGAGGTTGCCTCCTTGGCGGCTTTGAGTGCCATTCAATTGGGGGGGAGGTCGGCACGCAGTGAGCGCTTTTCCCAGGCTTTTGTTTTCATGGGCTGCTTGGTTGTCCAAGAAGTCCTTTTTCGCATGCCTTTTGAACATACCCCGGACCTGTGAAAGGAATCCTGGTGAGGGTTGGGAGATTTGCTCCTGAGGGCCTAAAAAATTCTTGGACGATATGGCTCAAATTAAAGAGCTAGGGCAAGCCGCAGGGTTGTAGTGCGGTTTTAGTCCTTGGTTCGATTTCCCAAGGTGCCATTTTGGTACATGTTGAGCTGCCAGGTGATCGTGGATGATGTGTTGGCCGATGTCTTGCAGAAGTTGAAGGACGCGCCAGAGGACAAAGGATCGGCCGCTGGCCTGCGCTATCCGGAAAATTCGGGACACCAGAGAGGTTTTGATTTCAAGGAGACCACCTAGTGGTTGGGTTTTCCCAATTTTTGGACGCGCAAATGGTTGATGGATTGAGGGAGGGCTTTTCTCCCCTGAGAAAGTTGCAGGCCTTGAGGAACCTGGCTTTTGAACCCTGGAATTCGTAGCAGTTCGGTTTACCTTCAGTTGGAAGACTAGAAGCCATCGGATTTAATTTTACGACGAGACTGTCCGCTGTCAGTGTCAAGACCCGAGAAACGGAACTAGAAGAACCTTTGCTTTGCCGGCTAAGGATCTTGGCTCCGTGCGCGCCTCAGTGATCTCGTGCCAACGAATGCGTATTTCTGTGCATGTGTGTGTGTGTGTTTCCCTGCTATATACCCCTTTTTTACCTTTGAAGGGAAGCTAAAAGCACATCCACATCTTTTCATTCATTTTTTTTGTTTTCTCTCGGGGTCCGCAATTATATAGACACACACACACACCGTCACACGCCCATATTCTATCTTTTTGTGTGTCCCCTTTTTCCGTTCTTTTTTCTCTTCTTCTTTTTTCGTCGGCCCAATGGAGCCCGTGGTCCAAAGGGTTTTCCGAGAGGTCCATGGAGAGGAGCAGCGCTGGGACCTCAAGCTCCCGCTCACGGCGCCGGTGCGGGAGGCCGTGGAGCTCCTGGCGCCTCGGGTTTTGGGGGCGTGGGGCGTGGGCAAGGGGCGCCTTGGTGTGTGTGTGTATATATATATATATATGTGTGGTTTTCTTTTTTGGGTGTGTGTTTTGGTTTTTGATTTTCTGGGTGGCTCGTTTTGTCTTTGGACCTGGTCGCCTTGTTTTTGTGGTCTTAACGGGAAACCCAAAGAGAAACCGAAGCCATTTGCAAGGTCCAGCCTTAAGACGACACCCTCATGAGTCCCGGACCTGAGATGGTGGACAAAAAAGATTCGGTGGGGATTCATATCACCACTTAGCAAGGTGGTTCCAACCATTGAATTTCATGGCCATGTAGGCTATATATACATTTGACACACATACATAATATACATACATATTCCAACCGTTTTCTCATTGGATATGCTTGGGTTCGTGACGTGTGGCTGCTGTGGGGGAAATGCCATAATATGGCTTTAATTGTTCATAAACATGTAAGGGCCAGCTTTTGTCGTGTGGTTGGTTTCAAAGGGAGCCGCCTAGGGAGCCGAACCGGACCCTTGTTTGTTGTGTGGCCGAAGGTAGCTTCGTGTTGTTTTTGAGTTGATGCCTGTTGGCTCAAGGGCGCGCCCATTCGCTGCTCGCCCGCGTCCAGGTGCAGTCCATGGGCAGCCTCCTGGAGGACCTGGTGTCGCGAGAGGCCATCCTGGCCGAACTGGCCTGCATCGTCAGCGACCCAGGCAGCTTTCGCCGCGAACGCCGCTTTTTTCGCGGGTGAGCGAAGCAAGGCGAAGCAAGCGCTGCGCAAGCGCTGTTCTATCGGTTTTGTGGCTCTTTTTGTGGTGGTGGCTTTTGTTTGGATGGTTAAAACCGCATGCGGCGGTTTTTACAATTCTTTGACGACAAATGCTGGTTGAAGAGTGTTGCGAAAGGAAACTCCTTTCTTGTTTGATTGGTTGTAAAAGGAACTTTCTCTTTTTGAGAATGTTAATGGACAAAATAATCCTGCGCGGAAACGTTGCAACTTTTCCCAGAGAGAAGGATCGAGCTCCTCCAATCTCAGAACGGGCCCCTCGATTTGGCCGCGGTTCCACAGTATCCCCATGCTGAGTGTTCCCCTTGACCCATGAAAAAGGACACCATCCATTTTGGTGGTTGCTTTTGAGGCAGACGCAGCTGGGGAAAATTATGGATGATCTCACTTGTAAGGGTCACAGTCAGGGCCCGGATTGGTTTGGATCTGGAGTGGAACCTGTTCCTCTTGACGCGAAGTGGGACAGCCATACCCAAGCCTTTAGAGGTACTCTTGGCTGTAGCTATCATCATTCAAAAGCTTCTGTGCGAATTTGAGCAACACGTCCACGGACCGCCAAGAAAAGGTTCACTTTTGATGTTGCTGGTCCGAACCGGAGGCAATGACGACTCCATGCGCCATTTTGGGTGGTTTCCTTTGAGCTGATCCCTAGGCTCCAGCAATCAAGTTCCACAGTGGTCATGAAAAATTGAGTGCAGGAATACCCTCCCAAATGGTTATCCCCACCGACTTGTTTTTCCGTTTCAGATCCCCTATCAATTTTTTCACACCCACTTTCGAGGTGGTTCCCTATTAAGACTCATAATATGTTTGCTTGTCTCAAACAAAACATGGGGCCCCCAAAAAGCGGGTGCCGTCTTTTTTGGAGCCCCTTTTGGTTGGTTTTAAGTGGCAACCCAGAGGACACCAACCATTGTGGGGTCCGATTCCTGAGAAAAAAACACCAAAATGGAGAAACGAACCACGTCTCATCTGCTTCGCCAGGTGCGAAGCAGCAGCCCTTGCACGCCGACACCTTGCGAATAGGCGAGCGAGTCCGCGAGTCCGCGAGGGCTGCGAGCGGAGGAAATGTTCCGGGAAAGTTTCTCATGTTCTGGCGAGCTGCTTTGGTTTCCTTACTCTGTTGAAGTGTTGTCTTTGTTTGGAACGTTTCCTTTTGAAACTCTGTTGAGGTGTCGCATAGGGCACGACGTCTTTAGATTTGAAAGAGCCAAAAGGAGGCCACCCGTTTGCTCGAGTCCTGGTTGTGGATGTCCCATAGGAAATCTAAGAATCGTTTTCCTTTGGTTTCCCCTTTAACCTTTAAATTAACCTCCAAAAGGCTGTAGTGGGAACTGTATAGAATTATAGTCAGTTTTTGGACACCCTAGAGGAGAACTGTATTCCATCATTCGGAGGGGGGGGAACAAGAGCGCTGCAGGCAGCGCTTGCGCGCCATCCGTCACGGTGTTTGTTCCATTGCAAGATCTACGACCTGCGATGGGGCCTACCATTTTGTGCCAAGGCTCCTCGGCCTTTTTTTAGGCCAAATTGACACGAGCTTCCTTGCAAGGAACACCAACAGGAGAACCAAAAGGAGGCCAAAGACGAAAAACAACGAAAACAACAAGAAAACACAAGGGAACACCAAGAAAAAGCCCATTGGAAAGCCAGCAGGAAGCCAAACGGAAGGAGCCACAACTCAGTTGAGTGGTTGATTTTTGGAAACACCCATTTGTCCAAGTGCGCCCGACCATTTGAGGCACGCACAACCTGCAATCTCACATGTCGCTCTTCAAGTGCGAGCAAGTCTTCATGCCTCAAGATGTGGTTGTGAAGAAGCACGGCGGCAGCTTGGCGATGGCTTCCTGACATGTGTCAGGTGGCTGAAAGGTAGGGACCCCTTCGAAGAACTGTGACATCAACGGTCGGCGACCTTCTACAGCGAATACCACTTGTTTAGGGTATGATGTCGAGCCCTGAAGCAAGCACATCCACCACGAAAAGCCTGGCTATATGCAAAGTATACCCTACGCAATGTAAATATTGGGAGCTGCACCAATTCTTGGGTTTCGAAAGAATCCAAATTTGTGCAGCGCATGAGGGTAAAACGAGCTCCACGACAAAGGTCCCTTGAAATCCATTTTCTTTTTCAATCTCAGGACTTCAGGAGCTCCATTTGTTCCATTTGCAAGACCTTTGCTTCTTCTCACCAATGCGGATTTTAGGCTTGCCGGCCTTGGCTGCGGCCGGGACGGGCATCGTCATGAACTCCAACCTGCTGCACTGCGGGGGCGCGAACCTGCCGCAGGCCATGGGCGGGGCCAGGCGGCGGCTCTTCTACGCCACCTCGGCGGCAGTCGGTCGGCGGTCGGCGGTCGGTCCTCGAGCCCGTGGCTTCCTCCAAGTTCCCGCTTTGGCGCCTCCAAAAGCGGCGATCGGTTCAATGGAAACCAGAAATCGTCTCGAGTTCGATTTCGAGACTCTTGTCCACTTGGTGGTGTGAAACCACTCATCACATTGCAACTTTCGAAAATTTGAAGGGGGAATCCGAAGGTAACCCCTGAGGTTTGAGGTTTGAGGCAGAAGCCCCGACTTTCACGCATGGCCATCGGATCGAGTTCCTGTTACCAGGACCTTTGCCCTCCCTCGCCGATTCGGGTAAATGGCGGGTGGACCACCCTTGGAGCGATCCAGATGTAATCTTGACCATGGCGGAGCTACCCAATCCAGGAGAGAACCCAATCCCAGGTGACCTTCCAGACGCCGGGCAACACACCTGATAGGCCTGGCCGCGTGTTTTTTCCTTCCTTTTTTCTTCTCGTTGGTTTGTGTGTTTTCCGTTTGTTGTTTGCTCTTGTTTTTTTTTTCTTGGTGTTTTCTTTTTGCTTTTCCAGCTTGTTGCATCTTCTTCTCTTTTTTTTACGGATTTGCCGCTGCTCTCTATGCGGCATTTTGTTGCAGGATGGGGCACAGCCACTGTGCAAGGGCTGGTGGGGGGTGAAATTGAACCGAATTTCGGCCGGAATTCCAGAGAGCACTTCAAGCGAGATCGAGGTCGTCCTTCTCCCTGCGCGAGGAGTTGCTCGAGGCGCGGCCTCTGGGAATCGGGGAGAGGTGCGAGGCCATGCATGGATAGGACATGTTACCTCAAACGGGAACCCAAAACCCGGGTAGTTCAGCGCGATCCCAGGTGTCCCGTCCTTTGAATGCCGATGGGTTTTGTCCTTACAGAAAATCCCACCAAATCGGTGAAGCAAATGTTCCAACATTTCACCTAAATGGGGGGTACATGGCTTTGGGTATATATATATATACACAAATATGGCTGTGGCTCAAAATCAGGTACCAAAATGGCACCTTGGTAAATGGAACCAAAGAATACCAATTGCGTAACCCTGGCTCTTTAATTTTGAGCCACACTCATACAAATATGTAGGGTCAGATGCAGGTTTTTTGTCAGAAAACACGGCAAATACCGGTGTTTTCAGAACCTACATATATATATATATATATATGTATTACCTACCTGGGATTTGGGTATGCACGGCATGGGCCACGTCCCCCCGGTTTTTCCCCGGGCCAGGAGTTCCAGCTCTCGGACTTCGACCAGCAGGCGCCGCTGGACCACGCTGTGGACTTGGAGCGCAAGGCGCTGCTCCTGGGCTCCCTGCGGGGCGAGAGCTCAGCGCCTTGGACTGGTCAACATGTCGGGATTCGGAGCCCCGAAATCCGCGAAGTCCGCGAAATCCAGGTCCAGCCAAGGGCCCTTTCTCACCCTTTTTTGGGGGGTGTCAAAATGGGTCCCCCAGCTAAGGGCCCTTTCTCAGGGGAGGGTACTAAAATACTCCAGCTAGAGGCCCTTTCTCACCGTTTCTTTTTTGGGGGAGGGTACTAAAATAGAAGGACTTGATGTCAAAATGGTTGTGGCTCAAAATGAAACCAGAGGGGCAAACTGCAGGTTTTGGTCCAGGTTTCCACTTACCAGGGCAAGCCATTTTGGTACCGGTTTTTTGAGCCACAGCCAAATAGGGACTCGGAGCAGGGGCCCTTTGACCGTTTCTTTTTGGGGGGGAGGTTCCCCTACTAAAATAGACTACAGAAAAAAGGGTGCCCTTATTCCAACCTCTCTACTGGAGAAGTGGCTGGTCTACGAGCCTACCAGGGCCCACTGGCAAAGCAGATCACTTCACAAACCAGTTGATATCCGTTGGCGGCGCTGGTAAATGGTGATCTGTTGCTTTGAAGGAGAACCAGTGGTGATTTTGAGAAGTGCAAATTTTCCAGGGACTCAGGTTCAAGTTGAATTTGGCTCATCTTCTTCCGACACACAAGGTATTTTTTGCCCAACCAATTTGGGGCGGCGGAATGAAGGGCCCTTTGTTGGGATTTGCCTGTTTTTTGAGTTCCCCCTAGCCGCAATGGCCATGTGGAACAGTTGGGCTGTTGCCTTCCCGTTCTCTCCTTGACGAGAGGGATCCCTGAAGAATGGGGAAGGTGCCCTTGGGGCTCACAACTGCTCCCTCTGTTTGCTTGTCCCAAGCCTTTTGAGGCCCCAAAACCGGGCAGACGCGAGACGCACAGAGTGCCGTCGGCGTCGATCGAGGCGATGGCCGACTTGGGCGTGTACCTCCAGGCCCGCGGGGACCCCGGGGCCGTGGAGTACTTCCGGAAGGCCGCGATGCACAGCAACACGCGGCTCGATGGTTTTCACTCGGCCCAGGCTTCGCGGCTTCTTTTTCTTCTTCTTCTGCCGTTTTTTTTTTGGAATAATAACAATTTAAAATATTCTTGTTTTATGTGTTTTTCTGTTTTTCTTCTTTTTTATCGGTTTGTTGTCAATAGGCTGGGACGGTGTGTGTGTGTGTGTGTGTGTGTGTGTGTGATTTTGGCTTTCCAAGATGTACCGAGCCTCGAAACAAACACAAACCGCAGGCCAGTGTGGAAAATATGTGTTTGAGTGGCCGCCTTTTGTCATACCAAGAGAAGCCCCCCGTGGCGGACTTGCGCGGCTGGTTTTTGTTGGGTCTCAAACCACCCCTACTGGGAGAAGTGGAGGGCGGCGGCCGGAAGTGGCGGCCTTTTGCTCGCACAACTCACACCAAATATGTGCTGGGAATGCAAGGGGTATGTGAGCTCCCGCCTAAACCTGCAGAAGACCACGTAATGGAAGGGACATCACATGCTGGTGGGCAGAAAGCATTGAGGAACGATGCGGTCAGAAATGCAACATACTGCAAGGAAGTTCCCTGCACGTAGGGAACCTTGGAATGGCCTCAAACGGAGGTTTTTCTTGAGATGCTTAGGGTTGTTGGGTTTCTGTCTGAGAAAAAATGAGGAGAGACTTTGACGGGGATGGTTGCTGGGCTCCGTTGGGCTTGTATCAAAAACAATACCACGTTCGCTCAATTTTTGTGTTGGATCTCAAAGGTATTGTTTGCATCCAACACATCCTTCACGCAAAAGCCAGGGGGACAGAGGACGTTTTTCCATGTCCATCGGGGTAGCCGCAGATTTTGACTGAAGAAGCCACAAGGGGATGGGTAAGCCCCTCCCTATTTGTTTGATTTTGTTTGCATGTTTTGCTTGGCCGGCCAGGCAGGTTTGACTTTTTGCAGGGTTGCAGGCAATCGCCATCGCCAACTGCTGACTGCCAAGGAAGGGATTCGCCCTTCTTGCAGATGTCTTTGAACGAGGCGAGCCCGCATAGCCCGCATTCGAGAGCTCGAGAGGATCTTGCCAGCTTAAGTGTCACTTGCAGGATACATTTCGGCCAAATCAAGCCCCTTTCCCAGCTGGTTCAAAGGGCTGCTACACCTACCAGGTGAAAATCATCAAGATTTTTAGGTGCCATTCCCATGGCAGAGGGTAGCCAAGGGATGTTTTCCCACTGGAGCAGGGAACCGTTCGCCGACCGCGAGCGAGTGCACAGGCCCAGTTTTCCAGCAGTGGTATTCCAGAAGAGGTTTAGGCGTTCCTTTCTTTCAAGCCCCCCTGAATTGGATTTAACTGGTGGTTTGCATTGGTGCTTTGGATTTGGATGTGACCCCCTTTTCTTGTAGAGGGCAAATTGGAAAAACGAATCCTTAGCTCCAAACCACCCAACCAAACCTGGCCGTATCGAGTCATATGAACTCCAACAGTTGACGCCCGTTTTGATTATTCGAATCCACCCAGGCTCCCACCGTTCCTAGGGTGCGGCAATTTGTGATGGGTTACTCACCCATTCTTTTTGCCGTCTCCGGCCACCTGTTGCGAAGTTGTAGAAGCGCATGCACATGTGCCTCGTAAATCGCGCAGAGAGCGAAATTATTTTGGGATGGAGTACAAACCAGTTATCCCAACGAAAGGGTTTTTTTGGTAATCATAGGAAACGTACGAAGTGGATCATTGACCCAAAATCGGCTCGGAAAAGAGTGCGATTAGGGCGACTGAAAATTGCCCGGGGGCTGCATGGATCTGGCCGCGTCGTGGCGGGTCGTGGCGAGTTGGTGGCAGGGGACCTGGGTATCCCGAAGAATGTGGAGGAAGCCCGGAGGCTCCGCGACTTTGGCACCCTGGCGGATTTTGTTTTGGTCAAAAGGGGAGCAAAGGGGGGTTTGATGTGCAGTGGGCTGGCCGAGTCTGAACCAAGGCGAACTATAAGCAGAGTCTAGGGACATCGCCGGGCTTTGGACATTTCGAAATCAGTCCCCCCAAAATGTTGGTTTCGTTTTGCTCGACCCTTTAAAGCCAATTATCAACCAAACGGGGGTCCGCCGTTCTGAGAAACTCCTGGGAAACGAACTTGTAGTTCTCAGAAGGAAGCAGATGCCGGTTGGATTCGAGATGGTGTCTTTGTTTAGGAGACTCGAAATTGGTTGTTTTCATGTTGTTTGACCTTCAAAACCACAAAACACAAGGGTTCCGAGCCTCAAAAAAGACGGGTGGCCGGTGCGTCCCGTGTTCCCTTTGCCACACCGTCAGCGTCCCGTTTTGTTTTTTCCAAGGTGCTGCGCTCGAAGAGTGACTCGGCGCCGGAACTGAAGCTCGAAGTCTTTGGCCGTGGTTGGGACTTTCTGACCGGAAGTCGCGGGTGGACTTTGGGGCATGGGCTTGCAATGTTCAGGTGGGCCCTTGGATTCTTTCTGGCACAAATCTTGACACTCCTCCATTCTGTCCGTCCTTCTTTTCAGGAAGCCAGCAAACACCCAGAAACAGCTGGCTGTTAAAAGAAAATGATGGTTGAACAAAAGGGTTGGAATCAAGCCGTACAACAAAGTCCCAACCTGACTGGTAGAACATTCTACCTTTTTTCCCTCCTCTTGCGCACATGTGTATTTTTGGTATATATACACATACAAATGCGTGGCCCTTCATATTATGCATTATATACATTTTTGTACATACTGCAGAGACAGAGACAGAGACATCGACAGAGACAGCGACAGAGACAGCGACAGAGGGGTGCCCCTTTGGCGGTTTATTAATATAGGAAAGCCAAGACAAAGAGGAAGCAAGCCATTTTGGGGGTCCTCTACTTTGAGACAAACCCGCATTTCCACACATCGACATGTCCATTACAAATGCGTTCATTCCCATAGCTGCAGGCACCTGAAGACTGGCGAAGGAGAGCCCCCGGATGCCGCGGAGTGAGGCGCCGCGTTTTGCGACGTTCGGGTCCGGTCCGAAAAAAGCAACGGCGCAGAAGTCGGCAAGTTTGGCTTCATGAAAACCGGCCAAGCCCAAGCCGTTTTGCATCCCAAGAGCAATTTTAGTTCGGGAGGTTCCATGACCAGGTTGTGCTTTTGCAGTGTACAGATCCCATGAGACGCGCCCAGGTTCAGCTCGACGCTTCCGCGATCCATTCAGCCGTAGAACTTGACATTTCCTGAGCAAAGTGAAGCAAAGAGCTTCGCCTCAGTGGAGTGTGCAGGGTTGGGCGATTCAACTTGACTGATTACATGTATTGGGTTGACAGAATGCCTTCATTGGGTGTTATGAAAAAAAATCAATATGTCTGTGCTTCCTTGTTTTGGTTTCTTATCCTCCAGCCTCAACATGTGTTACACAGTCATCTGTTTGTTTGCCCTGGGATCCTTTGCATTTGCTTCAAACATCTGCCCAACCCTTAGAGCGTTCCTCGTTGGGGTGTGGACCCGTTGCCAACCTGGTTCCCAGCAGAAAGATTCTCACGTGCGCGCGGCTTGGCCTGATCTTGGCCTTTTTGGGCCCCAAGGTTCAGGCCATGTCTCAAAATTGAGGCAGGGGTTGCTTATGGGGTGACCATTGGTTTCGGAAACCACCCAGAAAGATAGAAAGAATTGACTTTCACCATCTTGGAAAGTGTTTCATGGTGATTTTGGGGCCAGTCCAGGAGTATTGATGATTCTCCTGGTGGGTATGGCTCAAAATGAGAAGCAAGGGCGCAGCGTTCAGTTGATTGCCATCTTGGGTACCAACTGTTGAGCAGCCATGTGTCTTAACATGGGGGGGTTCTGGCCACTCCTTTTGAAACTGGGTTGAAATGCAGAACTATTCGAGCTCCAAACCAAACCAAAAGCCTCAGCCAATCCCAAACACATCCCATGAACCAAGCCTAGACCCCAGGCCCCAGGCCCCAAGCAACTCGGGCAGGGCATGAGGTCCTGCGTGAAGGCCGACGACAGACATGGCGAGGCACCGAGTGACCGGGGCGAGGGCCGCGAGTGCCGCGAGACATATTTGGCTGGTGCCCCCTCTGAGAAACGTCCACATTTTCGGTGCCCCCAGATCAATCTTGATTCGACTGGGATATCGGTGTCCAGTCCATATGTTGATCCCCGTTATTGGAGCGAGCCCTGGGGGACAAGGGCGGGGGGTTTATTTTCGGCTTTGGCTCCCTCCAAATTCAGGGGCATTCCGAATCATCCTTTCGGACGCCGGTTTTTTGCGCACCCGGAACTCGGCCAACGCCAGGCTGAATGCCTCAGAGTTCTGAGCATCCTCCACCAGGAGACCAGTTGCCTGTGGGCTACTTCGTGGGCTACGTGGGCTACGTGGGCTGTGAGTTTGACGTTTGGGTGTGGGTCAAAATTAAGCCAGGGGACCATACACCAGGGTTGAATCTTGGTACCGGTTTTTTGACCTGCCGCCATTTGACGCACTGGACATTTCCTGGCAAAGCCACCTGAAAGTTGGCACCCGGTCAGATCTGCAATTGTGCCCTTGGGGGTTCGCCCCGTGGCCTCGCCCCGTTGCCTCGCCAGGCCCATGGATGCCCGATCTTCTCCCAAGGGCACTAGGTGGTATGCGTGCAATCAGGTTCCACGGAGGTTTTCTTCTAGCCCCCACGGTGTAAGTGGTAACCTTCACATCGCAAGCAAGCCACCCGAACGTGTTAACTCATCATTCTTTTCAGAGCCCACCCATCTTGTGGCGGTCTTGCGGTGCAGCGTCTTGACGTCAGCTCCTCAGCTGTTACTTCTCTCAAGCCGCTAGCGTGCTCGAGAGAGCGCAGAAAATGGAGTCTAGCTGGGCTCTGAGCGATCGAAAAGTAGACGTGTGCCTTGGCGAGACATTTGCGACGTGTGCTTCGCGTGTCCGAAATGGGAGCGGGCCCCTTGTTTCATAGGATCCACCTGCCCCGCTCCTCCTTCTAGTTGTTCCAAGGCCTGATTGGCACTGATTGGGGTCATATCTAGAGGAACGGGTGAGGGGGTCGAAAATCCTATGATTTGTAGGATGGCGTTGAGCACTGGTGTTTAGATTTGTCCTGTTTAGGATCAACAATTGCAGTGGATGGTCATGGCTATTTGAAGGACTTTCCAACTTGAATCGTGTGATCTTGGGCACAAAACCTAACTGCTCAGGGAAAGGGTGGAACGCACTGGGGACCGCCTAGGAGGGCCAGGGTATTGTCGTTAAGATGTTGCCCAGCGGCAAAAGGCAAGGCCTCATGAAGGTTTCTCCACCCTTCGCCCAAGGGGCCATACCCAAGGTAAAGCCTCGAACGAAGAGTTAAGGGGCAAAGGAGGGGTAAGTGAGTCTCTACCTAAGACATATTGGAACTTTAGATCTCCCGTTGGCAACATTTGGGGCTCGGGATGTGGGGGGAAGAACCAGATTGTAGCCGAACACCAAGGCTACAAACACACACTTCCGGCGTTCTTCACATGGAACATACTGATTTGAGCATGGCTCATATCAGCTTCGCTCGGTGTTCTCTTCCAATACTTCTGTAAAGTGGGATACATGGGTCGACCCACCTTGTTCCAGTGGAACATGGGGACAGCCAACATTGACTGCCGTTTCACCCTGAGGAACACTTATAATTCCTACGCCGCCTCACCCACAGCGGCAGCAGCTTCTCGGATTTGCAAATCTGCTGAGCAGAATGCGTCGCAGGGCCATCTGCAGAGCCTTTTGCACATAGCAGGGACATGATTTTACATTTAAATTTGGACAGGTTTTAGAGGCTATGGTCACTGGCCCAATCTTCCAAAGGCCAATCGCCAATCCGCGAGGCGAAAGCAGCTGCCTTGGCAATGTCGAGCGAGCAGCTCGCCTGAGACTATGCAAATCCAAGTCCAGCAAGCGAGTCCTACCCGTAGTATGTCAGAACCCGTCTTTTGCACCAATCAGCACTACCCCCAGACTTGTATACCTGAGTGAGATATTGACATATGGGGGTTGATCAGTATGCCTGGCCTCGAACGTGACTATGGGTAGCTTTTCCCATGTGGTGAGAGTCATCTTTCTTGGTGGTTTCCCTAATGGTCGCATGTAAAGGACCTTTTGATCAACCCCATCCCACGAAGCGCCATCGGCCAGGTCGCGAGACGCGCCGTATTTCATAGCGCCCACCTTGGCCAGTCTGCGGGCCCACGAGGCAAATCGGGTTTGTCGGAGCCATCGCCTTCTTTTGGCTTGCGCGGAACAGAAAAACAAGGCGAGGTAGGTCGACTCTGGCTCCTTTTTTACAAGAGAAGCAAGTATGCTTGTCGTTGTTTGTCCTTTGTCTCTCTCTTTGTCTCACCTTTTCTCCTTTGATTCTCTTCATCTCCATTAAGACCCGTTTCCAGTCACTCCCATCCATTCTCTACTTTCGAACTTGCAACTCCAAAAACCCACCGAGGCCTTCCTTGCAGTTCGCCTCTGGATGTTATTTCGCCCAAACGGATCACCTGCCAGGTGCATTTGGCTTCCTTTGACCTCTGGAAAGAGTCCAAGGAGCATCCGGAGCGTGCGAGCTTTCGGGACCTTCCTTCCAATGGAAGCAGACGATCGGAGGGTTTTGCAAGACGCTTTCGTTTCGGAAAAGCCCTCGTTCGGCCACTTCCATGAGTGGTGGAAAGAGGGTCCCCCGCAACAACCTTGTAAGGGCCACCCATGGTCCCTTTGAACAGAGAATACTCAGCATGCCTTTCCATAGCAAGACACTGTGAGGTTGGATCCTGTTTTTTCATGATCTTGATCTAAAGAGCAATTCGCTACGTGATTTCTCTTCTTTGTCAGGTTCCTTGTTTGATTTTGGGAGGCAGGTTCCTTCAGGTTTTTTCGAGCTGGCGAGGACTGCGACACTTGCTCGACAGGGTTTCAGGACGAGCTCTGCCCAGCAAGTGAGGCGTAGTGAGAGAGTGCAAAGCTGAGTTGACATGGGTTTGTCTCAACATAGGGGAAACCCCAATAGAAGATTCTTCAGCCACGAATTTGAACCAAGTTCCTGAACACTGTGGGTCAAGGAGAGAGGAGCCGTAAGGGAAAATAACTGAAACTGACCAGTTGGAACCGGTGAATGCGGGCACTGAAACGGGGGGGTCTCTTTTTCAGGGCACGTTCAACAAGAGACCAAAGTGTTTGCCCGAAAGATGCCCAGGGTCCCCCTTTGACACATGGACGTGAAAACTGTTGTTCCGGGGTACCTGTTTAGGCACCTCCTTGGGGTTAAATTGGAAGTCATAGAGTTACAACCGCTATTTTGCGTGTGCACAAGAAATTGAGGCAGACCCACATGTCTTGCCCCATGAAAATGCTGGCCTTCCTTTTGGTTTCTCTTTAAGCCAAGCCCGCGCAACCCCATATCTCACAATTGCTAGGCCGAGCCGGTCCCTCGCATCATGTGGGATTCCGAAAAGGACTCCGCCTCAGCCGCGCGCGAACCGGGTTTGGGATTCTGTGAAAGGGGCAGATGTGCATTGAAAGACCGCCCAGGGTTTCAGGGGGAATATGGCTGTGGTTGTCAAAACCAATGGGAGACCATTTTGGGGGTAATTAGGTGCACCACCCATTTTAGAACCTATTTTAGTGGGGATTGGGATGTTCACTGAGGGTACGGGATTTTGACCCATGGCCATATGAGGACTTTGGATTGCACGAGGATTTTGGAGAGTGACATGCTTGAATTGAGTTGCATCGAGCATGGTCCGGACTCCATAGCGCTGGCCCCAAAAACTCTGTGCGATGGGTGTGTATTGACCCTTTTCGCTGAGTGATGGGTGCTGGTTGACTTTTTTGAAGTATGCAGGCGGCAATCGAAGAGCAGAAAGTCGCGAACGAGGCGCACTGCTGAGAGCCCCTGAGGAATGCATTGGAAGGAGGAGTAGAGAACCCTTCCAAACATGTTTTTTTGGGGGTACAAGGGAAGGCGCCTTGCCCTACCTTTTTGTTTTGGTGGGGATTTGACGGGCATTTTGCCGTAGGTGAAGAAGCCACAGCGGGAGATCGTCACTGCAGCTTGGCTGCGTCACGCTCGATCACTAGCCACTTTGACATTGCTCACTGCCACAAGGGGCTCAAGCAGTCAGATTGCTGCCCAGTTGTTTTTTTTGGACCAGTTGTTGCCCTCACACGCAGAGGACCCCTTCTGAAAGGTATTCCGACTTTTTCCAAAGCCTAAAAACAATTTTTCACGAGGACGGTAGTCCTCCGAAACCATCCCTTCCATGATTGATGTAAAGTTTAGAGCTGGTAACTCCAAAGGACGGGTGTTCCCAATGTTGGACACGCACCTGGACTTCCGAGGCCGTGGACGATTGGTTTGATCTGGGCTCTGAGCTTAGTCATGCGCGATCAACACCTGAGCCATCAAAACCGATTCGGGTAGATGATCCGGTTAAGGGGCGATCCCAACCATAAGAAATCCTAAGAAGCTGCGGATATCTCCGCCTTAGTCCTGTACATGGTTTTCTGGGACTACGACCATTTTAGTACCGATCCTTTGTCTTGATTGCGACCCTGGAAAACCCTCCCTAGCATTGAACCCCAAAAGATGATCCAGGAGATTCCTGGTCGCACGGCAGTTTGGGTTCCATGTTGACTCCCTGCAACCCACCTGCTCCCTTGAGGAAGATAGTCTTCCAGGGACCTTCAGTTAGGTTCCATGCTAGTCAGTGAGAGAGTAAGCGAAGGATTGAAGGGGGAGCAATGGTGTCTTCTTTTGATGCCTCACGTGGGCTGTTGGGTCGACCACTTCAACACCAGATTTGATTGTGATTCGGATGAGAAACGGATATGACGACTGATCCATAGTAGATGTGGTTGGACACTGAAACTCCCAATTTGCCCAAGAGGTGGAGGAGCTTCATTGCTCAGATGCCGGCAAGTTCAACCGAACTTGTCGCAGTCTGGTCATCTCAGGTGCTTTGTTCGGATGCTTCACGGTCAGGGAGCGGTGAACAGCCGTGAATGGCAGGCAATCTGCTTGAAGCAATGCTTGCGTATGGGTGTGGTTCAAACTGAAGCGCAGGGAAGCGCATTCTCTGCACACCAGGCAACCCCTAACCACAATTCCAAACCACCAATCCACACCACCCTTTTCGATAGAAGCTGAGGTTGGGAGGGGGTTAGATTTGTTGAGCCACAGCCGCATCAAGAAAGGGTAGGCTTTGTAGCACAGCTCGGAGCGGCTGTGAGCTCTGAGAATCCGACCGAGCCGATAAGGATGGCCGAGGGAAGTTGAGCCTTGGGGTCAACGTTGGGATGGCCGGACAGGCAATCCTGAATCTCAGGTGCCCCTTAGTTGGCTTGGATTCGTGGTCTGCAAAACCGCTAAACCATCGATGCAGATCACCAGTTAAAGGGAACCTGATAGTCATTATAATGATCCCTAAGGGAACCATGAGCCAATCGGCGCTGACGGAGTTTTGTGATGGAAAGATCTGATATCTGAACAAACAGACCCTGGAGCTTTGTCCACACCTATGAAAGATACCCCAAAACACCACTCATGGCAAGGGGCGGATCGGTTCTCCTTTTTGTGTTGGTTGTGATCGCCCTGTACCATGGTGTTTGCTAGACTATTTTGACGCAAGCTTGGGTTTCTAGACTTTCTAGACCTCCCTTGGGCATCCATGACGGTATGCCTAGACTTGCATGCGTTAGACAGTGCTGACCGGCAGCACGAAAGGAGCAGCGCCCAAAACCCTTGGCCAATTTATCTTCTGTCAAGCGTCCCATCCCTGGTTTAGTGGGGACTGTTAAAAGGCTAGAGCGATTAAGTTGTACTTTCGTTCATGGGAGTTGTAGCAAAGTTTGGGCTAAGCTTTATGGCCAGATAGAACAAGGATGGATTTCGGGCGCCGCTCACTCAACTCTTTCCCATGGGCAAGAGCTCAGCTGTTGAGCTGTCTCTGCATGGGGTTTACTTTTGTGGGCTCACGTCCACTCCGCGCTGGACCCTGGATCGCTCCGACCCTGCCAAAAGATATAGACAGCTGTGCCATGGTCCAAAAAGCCCCGAAGATGTTTTTTTTTTTGTAGGGACGGTTTTCAATCAGGAGATGTTTCCAGCTTTTTGCCTCCAACTTTTGCTTCTTACTCTTTTCCTGATGACACTTTGTTGCCATGCTGATCCCATCTCCAAGTTGAGTGCTGTTGGCAGATGTCAGATGCAACTGATGCAAAGCTACTGCTCATCATCACCAAGCAGATGTAGAGAACCAATGCACATGCTCCTATTTGAAGAGCCATGACCAACAGAGTTTGTTTCAGTGCTGGTGACGCCTTCATGTGAATGCAGCCAGAGAAATAAGGAAAAGGTACCCTCAAAAGCACACACACACACCCATTTGAGTATTTTTCAAGACCAGAGACTTACAGAATTCATGTCTGTGAACCCAATTGGGGGGTGTCATTTTTTTTCGGCATCGGAGCCCCCCAAAATGGTTTTTTCAGGCCACATCAAAAAAAGAAGGGTACCAACTCCAAAAACGAGCCTTCATTTTGGGTGGGGACTCCTTCCATTGATCCATCGGTCCGTTTGTTTTTAACCGCAAAAGAAGGGGAAAGTGAAAATGGACCAATGGATCAATGGACCAATGAAATCCATTGATCCACAGCAAGGGAAAGGGCTCCTTCCTGATCCAGGACTCAGGGGACCTGGATTTGGCGCTGGACGTGCGAGCCCCAGCGAGGTCTGGCCAAAACCGGTTTCAACTTTGCCATTCTGGCAGGGGTCCCTATAACAGGGCTCCTTAAAAGATACATTTTGCAACCATTTTGATTCATGGCTTTTTCCACCAAAATAAAAGGACGCCACCATTTACAAGGCAATGTTCAGGTGTATAATGTAAGGATCCCTGTTAAACATCATCTTTTTGGCCCATGAGTTGTGAGTGCCCCTTGGTGGGGGTGATGTTTTTAGGGGAAATATGGGGAGCCCTGTTTTAGCAGGTGGTTTGGTTACTAGGTCTTGCAGTGGGTATAGCACGGCTTCTACGGTGATGATGGGTGTGTCTTTTTTGGGAGGTCGTACTCTTATGTTTGTGGTTTGAGACAAAACCAAGAGGACGCCCGAGGTCAATTTGGGGGGCCTCCTGAAAGACACACCCATCATGACATATATACTACACCCCCTTGAATTTCTCAGGTTCTTGGCCAGAACCGAGGCTTTGGGCCAGACTGGGGGTGACAAATGCCTTGAGACTCTGAGATGAATTGACAGGAGACGCAACTCCATGCAAATTCCAACTGAGCAGGTGCTCCTATTCAGACAGCTCGAAAGTCACATTGGCGTGCGCGAAGTGCACTTAAAGTCACATTGGAGTATGCAGCAGCACAACTTTTCAGAGTACAGGAGTAGTGTGCGAGTTATGCTTTGGTAGCTTCAACGTGATTGGGGGAAAGGAACTCATTCCTGCTAGCAACAAAATAAAAGTGCCTCATGTCCTTGCGCAGTTACATGTGCATGTCAACTCAAGTGTTCTGCATACTAATTGAGTCTATTTGAATCAGAGTTTGCACACCAACTATCTCAGTTGTGTGTTGCTTGTCCAATTTGATACAATCATCGTCAAATAGCAACTACTGAGATTCAATCATAAAAAGGACAGCCAGTTCAAAATGCTTTCGAGTTCAATCCAGATCCCTTTTTCATCGTTTGCAGTTGCTTGTGCATGTCAACAAAACAGTTGGATAACATAGCTATTGCCATGGCCAGATAAACATCAAATTCAATTTCAACACGGTATTGTCCTTATCTAGCCCCATGTGGTTTTAACCAAGCGGGAAGTGAGCCAAGCCGATAACAGAAAAGTGTTTTCAATCATACATGTTGTTCTTGGCATTTTCAGCATTTGCTCAGACCGTGTTGCCCTGGATCGAAGATCGAAACCAAGACTCCACAAACATATTTTCAGAACATCCTCAATCCCGGCCCCCCAAAAGCTTTCCAGACTCATTAAGGTTTTCCCCCTGCATTGAAGAATGAAGACCTACCAGATGTTGTATTTGAGAATTTCCCATCCTGGCCAGCACTGGAAAGCATGTTTGACATGCATTTTGCGGCCAAAATGTCAACTTCTAGCGCTAAACCAGAGTATTCCAGGAGATTGTACCAAATATATTAATATACATACATACACGCCTTTGTGGCCCATGCTGGTCTCCTACAATGGCCACTTCGACCAAACGTGGCCGACTTGGAAACCAGCCACTGGGTTTCAGCTCACCTTAGTTGAGTGCTCGGCCAAGTGGTCGGGGTTACAGCCCACCAACAAGGACAACTCCAGTGAACGCGGGGCTAAGTGGGTAACCAAATTACCATCGCCGAAATGGCCAGGGTTTGTTTCTCATCACTTTTCAAGACTATTCATAGTCATGCCTTTCTTCTGCCCACTGGAAGATCCCAACTTGGGCCGTTGTTCCAACCACTTGCAAATTGGAAGAAAGTTTGGTTTGCTTTTTCGTACCAACTTGGCCTTGTCCAATAAAAGCAACCCGATGACAGGAAGGACAAGGGCCCTTGACAGGATACTTCCATCGCAACTCGTGAGTTTGTCTTGTGATTCTATGAAAATATCTCCACTTTTTTTGAGAGGCAGGTATGGGACGGCTTTTGGCCTTCTGCGGGGACCTGCTCCAATATTCTACTTCCATGAGTGGGGAGTGATGGTTGGAGCACGGCTCACACAACCCCGGAGCCTCAAGAGAAGCTTGAGCGCTGCACCTCTTGCCGAGAGCAGTCCTCGGCTGTTTTGGGCGGTGGGGTCTCAAAAGGTTACAGGGAAGCCCAATGGATAACCAAAAATGAGGGTGTCCACAAGGACAACACATGGCGAGTGTCAGGGGTACCTTTTGACAGCTAAACAGGAACCCCCCGCCCCTCGGCGGAAAAGGCTTTCGGCACTGTTGGTTTCCCTTGGGTGGGACATGGGGTTGACCCTATGGCCCCAGTTACGGGATTTGAAGTACACCCCTTCAAGCTGTGTGAAAAGACAGCTCTTTAAGCCCTTGGTATCGCTAGGTATGTTTCTGGCATCCACTGTGGTTGGACATCAACGGGTAACAAATGGCATCCTGCCGAGGGCGTCATGAGGCGGACCTGCCTATTGGGGTTTCGAACTCACCTGTTCGAATTAAGCAGATTTCACTCTAGTTCTTTACTTGGGTATCGCTTGGCCCTTTCCTTCTGCCTCCAGGCGGCACGCAAAGAGCGCCTGGTCAGAGAGAAGGCTCCGTCAGGTGTTGGCCGATGGGAATCATTTGTGGGTTCAACAGACAAAAAGGGGTGGAAGCAAGGGCAAGTCTTCTTTCATCGCGAAGGCTTGGAATCTGGAAGTACAGAACCCCGTGGTGACCTTGCTTTCCCCAGGCAGCTGGTAGCTTTTAACCTCGATTCGACCGCAAAGGACTGACCTGTTTGTTTGGAGGTCTTCCGAGGTCCTCCAGAGAGCTTAGAATAAGGGTGCATTCCGCGGAGGAATGCACGCTTGAGATCCCGAAAGGTGTGGGTTGCCAGAGACATGAAAACTTCAGCCTGGAGTGGGGGGGGGCTTCGGGGCTTCTACGGGGGGAGGCCTTCTACCGGGTGCCCATTCTTTTCAAGGGACGCTTTGAGCAAACACGGATCTGAAGGCACGGTGACGGTGACGAGAGAATGGAAATGGCACCAAGCCCCAGCGCCCTTGCTTTCCTTGGACCGCACTTGTTATCCTCCCCTTCTTTGGCAGTTTGAATTGGTTAGCCCTTGTGGCTCAAGCACCAACCACGGATTCAATGAGTCCTAGCCAACTGGGTGTGTTACGTCTTTGTTTAAGGGCACCCTTCTTTGTTCGGTTTTGAAGGGAAGCCAAAAGGGAGTACCGTGGCACCATTTTGGGGTTCCAAGCTTAAAAAGCACCACACACACCCCACTCCGCTGATGGCTTTTGGTGAACCTTGGTCGCAGGCGAGGGACAAGAAGGGCGCGGCGCGCGCCTGAGTGAGCTGTGCTCCAGTTCGGCCCCGGGGTCCGAATCGGGTGCTTTCTTTTTTGATTGATTCCTGATTGAAAAAAATGAAAGCAATGAGGGTTCACAGAGCCACCTTTCTCTACTTAGGGAGTTTCATCATTCAAATTGGGGCCTTGCCATGAACTGTGAATGGGGCCAAGCCTAGGGCAACGCCCAAATAATTGGATCTCACATTTGACCACATGAAGGCAGGACGGGGCATTGGGTTTCATTAGCGGTTGAGCTCTGAGGGGTCCGTTCGTGAGGCTCGGGCGCTACACAGCATTGCGTCCATCCACATGAGCCGAGACCTGAGCTTCTCAGTTGGGTCTTGTGAGTTTTCGATCCAAAACGATTTCGGAGCTACCGCGAAAGCAAGATGACCATAAATGGTTTGGCGCCCCTTGTTGGTCAGTTCTTGATTCTTGACGCACATAGACGGATTCCACTTTTGTTTTTGATCTGTCCCTCTCGTGTGTCCGTTTTGTCAGATTGGAAGTACATGAATTCCACTGGTTTCAGTTTCGTTCAAAGGGCTTGTGGTCTTGAACATCGGCAGGGTGTTTGGACTTGTTGACACATCAGGACCCAGATGGATTCCACTGGTTTCAGCATGATTCCAATGGCGGTCAATATTTACTGTTATCCAATGTGGTACAATGGCGCTACTACTTGCCAAACTGCCATGTTGGGGACACTATGAATATGTGCGTGTCATTTTGTAGGGGACGCCTCCAAGTTGGTGGCCATCCTTGTGGTTTTCCTTTGAGCCAGACCCAAAAACGGGCACCCTCGAAAAAACAAGAAAAACAGACCCATGTCGACCGCTGCTGACATGATTTCCGCAGCCCGCGGTAGCTTTAGTGTAGTCCCAGCGGGAGAATCATCGCCGAAGATGGTCGAGCGGAGCACTCAGCTTGCAAGTCCCGCATTGCGTTTGCAAGTTGCGATGAAAACCATGGGGATTCCGGGATTACCCTCTTTGCAAGACTCAATGGAAATGGACAGCGGGCTGTTTTGCTTCAGTAGGCTTCCAAAGCCCTTCTGCCAGCTTCCAAAATCGATTTGGAGGGTAGCTGGCCATTTCCCGAAGACTTGGGCTTTCAAGCCGCCGTTTGGCTTCTCAGCTTCAGGTTTCGAGGTGTTGGTCCCAGAAAAATATCCGGTCGCTTCCCGCTTGGTCCTCAGAAATCTGGGTGCCACAGAAGCCTCAGACGAGGTACCTCCACATGTTGCATCTCGGTTTTCCCAACTTCATTTGGCGGATGGCTGGGATCGACCCGCGTATGTCGCCAACTGATCCGAGGACCAATGCGAGCGCCCGCAGGCCGAGGGAAGACACCCTGGAACCACAACGATTGACCAAGCAGCTCAGGAGCCGAGTTGCCGTGTCAGATCTCCTCTTCGATGTGTTGGGATTGAACAAGCTTAAACCACTAAGCCTTTAGCAAACTCCTTTTGGCTTCCCTGGGACAATTTTCCATTTACCCTCTACAAGAAGCGGTTCAACTCCGAAGCCACCAATCCAAGCATCCAATGGCGGGAAATTGTTCTCTTGCCGGATGCGAAAGCAAACCATGGACTTTTTCCTAGCCCATCAATTAAAAAGTGGTGGGAAAGGTCCCAAATCCTGACCCAAGCAAACGCTGCCGTGTCCAAAAGCTTGGCCTGTGTTTCAATGGTGCTTTGAAGGCAAGCCGAAAGGCAACACACTCTCGTGTCTATAAAATTGCCACTCTCGGAAACTCCCGTAAAAGTTGCCTGTCTGTCATTTTGCCACGCAAAAACTGTCCAAGCTCGTCGAGTCTGGGTTCTGTCGAAAGGGTGTAACACAACCAATCAAAGGGCAACAAGCCGCTTTTTTGGGCAAGTGATCCAACTGCTTTGCAAATGTTGCAGCAACTCCAATGCCTAAAGCAAGGGATCTTATGGGGCTAAAGAATCAACAAACAAACAAACCAACAAACCAACTATCTATCTTACTGGCTGACCGACCGACCCGACCGACCCGACCGACCAACCAATCAACTGACTCTCTGCCACGGCAGAAGGACATCAACAGGTCGCCCTGCGCGCGTTTTTTGCAGGAGGAACGAATCCTGTGCCTCGGAGTGTCACTACCCACCACCGTCACCTGCACCATCAGAGGCTCAGCTGCATCGGTTTTGGGGGCTCGCCCCCCAGTTCCCAATGGAACCGGGCGGTTTGCGCAACCAGAGAAGAGGCGCTTGCCCGTGGGGAACCCCAACTTGGTTGGCCGTTGGAGTTCAGTGAAACGAAGAAGGAAGCCAAAAGCATTGAGACTCGGGTCTTGGAGGCAACGATGAGTTCACATGCGTTGTTTTCACAAGACCCCTTTGCCTGGGGTTGATAGAGATGGTCATCCAGCTCGTAATACCCGTTACAATGATTCCTGTGAAAGGAACCAATTGCCCCATCGAGGGAATCCATTCGTGGTTCAAGCACAGCATCTAGTGGCAAGTTTGATCCTGCCTTCGTACACCTGCCTCCTTTTTGTTCTTTTGTTCTTTTTTTTTTTGGGGGGGGGGGCATCAAGCAGCCCCTCTAACCAATCGCATCATCTATCACTTCTTGTTCTTGTGTTTGCATGTTCGCACGTGTTGGTTGGGCATGCTTGTTATGCTTTGCTCTGCCTTGCTCTGCCTTGCTCTGCCTTGCTTGCTTGCCTGCTTGCTTGCCTGCCTGCCTGCCTGCCTGCCTGCTTGCTTTCTCGCCCGCCCGCCCGCCCGCTTGCTTGCTTGCTTGCTTGCTTGCCTGCCTGCTTGTTTGCCTGCTTGCCTGCCTGCTTGCCTGCCTGCTTGCTTGCTTTCTCGCTCGCCCGCCCGCCCGCTTGCTTGCTTGCTTGCTTGCCTGCCTGCCTGCTTGTTTGCCTGCTTGCCTGCCTGCTTGCTTGCTTTCTCTCCCGCCCGCCCGCCCGCCCGCCCGCCCGCCCGCTTCCTTGCTTGCTTGCCTGCCTGCTTGCCTGCCTGCTTGCCTGCCTGCTTGCTTGCTTTCTCGCTCGCCCGCCCGTTCGCCCGCCCGCCCGCCCGCTCGCTCGCTTGCTTGCTTGCTTGCTTGCTTTTTTGCTTGTGTTTTGTTTTGTTTTGTTTGTTTTTTGTTTTATTTTTTTTATTTGTTTGTTTGTTTGTGTGTCCGTTTGTTTGTGTGTTTGTTTGTGTGTTTGTTTGTTTGTTTGTTTGTTTGTTTGTTTGTTTGTTTGTTTGTTTGTTATTTCGTTCGTTCGTTCGTTCGTTTTGTTTGTTTGTTTGTTTGTTTGTTTGTTTGTTTGTTTGTTTGTTCTGCACTGGTGTTGGCACGTGAATTAGAGTTTTTTTTGGCTTTTTGGTTCTCTTCTTTTTGGCAGGGGGCTGCACAGAAAAATATACATGTTGTTTAGAAGCCCATAGCCAGGGGTTGTGTTTGGTTGGCTGGGTCGATCGGTTGGTTGGGTTGGTGGCTGGGTTGGGTTGGGTTGGTTCCAACAATTGGACCGCAGTTTTTGGTCCGTGTCCCCATTTACCAGGGCAAGCCATTTTGGGGTTACCCCATTTTTGACCCACTGCCACATGTTCTGACAGTGTGTTATGGTGAGCTGGTCTTATGAAGGGATCCCTTGACTCAAATGAAGGTGAGAAAAATGCGAGGCCTGCATCCCAGTGGCCCTATATCCGAACCCAACGCATTCGTCAATCGATAAGGACGAGTTCGAGGAGCTGCGGCACCTGCCGCCGCCCTCCCCGGCCACGGCAGCCTTCCGGCCCCAAGTGGAGAAGGCCACACCGCAGAAGCCGGAGGGTCCGACCGGTCTGTCATCCACCGGTCTGTCACTTGATTTTGTCACCCCCAAAAAAGCCACTACCAGACAAAATGGGTGTGTTCCTTTTGTATAGTGGCGAGAAAAGTGGCTGTAGATCCCATTCGACTGCTGAAAATAGTGGAGACTATAATAGAGCCTCTTTCTTTGTGTGGGTAAGTACCCTTTTTTGGGAGGGTTAAAAGGGAAGCTAACAAGACCAGTTTCCACGTTGCAGGATCTTTGAGAGAAAGCCACACCCATGTCCCTTTTGGTGGGTTTAAGTACGTCTTTTTGAGCGCATGTGTGAGTTTTTGGGATGATGCCTTTAGGTTGAGCATGTAGAGAACTCTCGCCCAGAGTTTCTTCCAGAACCTGCTTGCTTTTGTAGGTTGATGTGTCCATTTTTAGGTGTCTGGGGGGTTGCCCCGAGAGTTGCTTTTTCTTCCGCCTTTGAGCCTAGAAGCACCCGGTTAGCCTTTGACCCCACTGGGTGAGGTTGGTTTAGGCTGGTCTGGTGCTTGTTGTTGCCTCGAACCCGAAACAGCCATTTACAGAAATGGTGTCCCAAGCAACCATTTCCTATGAAGAGAGCGGCTTCATAGAAAATGGTGGCTTGGGAGAAACATTTGAAATGGTTGTTTCAGGTTCCAGGGGGAAGCATCTGTTGCCAACACAAACCAGCAAAACATCGGACGGGGAACTTTCATGTTGGGCAACCTTCTTGTCCACTTCCATGATTGTTGGACAAATAGTACTGGTTGGAGCAACCTCAAATTGATCGGTGCCATGCTTGATTTGGTTCTAGAGTGATATCCACCAAAGGATACCCAGTTCAATCTCATATCAAATGGGCGTGCCTTTTGCGCAAGGTCCTTGTACACGGTCAATGGATAACCGCCAGCAATTCACCTCTTAAGCAGCCAAGCCAATCCACCAATTGAAGGGAAACAAGTCCCCCCCCCACTCTCCACTTCTTTCGACCCAAACTACAAGTCCCCCTCCCCCCCACTTGTTGTTCAGCCCCCCCCCCCGAACAGCTGAGAAGCTGTTTGGTTCAGTGAATCTCCCCACCTGGCAAGCTGTGCAGGGCGTGAAATACGTCGTGGTCTCTGGGGGAGTTTGTAGCTCCTTGGGCAAGGCCGGGATCGCAGCGAAATCGCTCCAGAAAATTCAACCATGCCCATGTCTTCCAGCTGATCAGGTAGCCCGTATTTGAGGGTTGGGCCTCCCTTTTCCCACACCATGTGAAGCCTGTGCAGCGCCAGCATCACAAAAGATGGTTTGGATTGGTGGGGATTTGCACCTCTGGTTCTTGAAGGGGAGTGGAAAAGCAGCCCGGAGTTGACCGGGCTCCAAAGCACCAATGTGCGGGACGCTGATCCTGCTACCCTGCAAAGGGAAGCCAAAAGGAGCTTGTTGCAACCGTAGTGGGTTAAGCTTGTCTCCCAAAACATGGTCGAGGAAGGATGAGGAAGGGTTGGGATCGGAAGGGTTGATTGGGCTTTTCAAGATGGGCTTTGAACACGTCCCAAGCACCAGGGGACTCTAAATCCCCTAAAAAAAAAAAAACACTCTGTCTGGTTTCCCCATGTCCATACAAGGCACTCAGCACATTTTGCCCCACATCACCCCTCTCCAATCGCTCGCCCGGATCCGTGACTAAGCACAGGGTGTGGCAACTTCCTCCATCGGAGCGCTGCTTCGCGGGCACGGATTCAGGGCCTTGGCCTCGGGCCATCAGATGAGCATGCAGAAATTTCTGGGTCGCGACCGGGCCAACAAGTTCGAGTGTTTGTGTTGCACTGACTGGACCCTTGCAACTTGTTGGTTTCCTTTCCATTGGACATCGTTGGTCATTCTTTAGTCCACTGCCGCGCAGCTCGGCCAAAGGTCACATCCATCAAGCTGGATCCCTACATCAACGTGGATGCCGGACTGATGAGCCCGCCGCGCGGCCGCACGATCACTGCATCTCTCAATGAGAAGGGGTTCCATTTCAACCATTTGCCACATCACCGTTTTGTCTAATGTGAGGTCAATTCCTCTTGGGCTGATGATGTTTAGAGGGTTTTGTTCCAACAATCTCGGGACGGCCCTTTTAAGAAACAAATCTGTGAGGGACCGGGTATCGGATAATTGACATTTCCCAGTTGAGGTGTGTGAGACCACAAGAGCGTGTGGGTTTCCCATTTTCAGACTTGCTTTTCACCCCCCCCCCCTCAAAGCGCCGCGCCCTCTTGGCAAGCCGCGAAGACAAAAAGACAACCCAAGACATAGTCTGCTTCAGGTATGAGCACGGCGAGGCGCGGGTGGCCTTGATACCAAACGAGGGGTTCCACCGGACATTGTTCCGGCAGAATGAGTGGAGTAGATAGGTGTTTTGGGACTTGTTTTGTTTGCTTTTGGGGGGTGGGGGGGGTGGGGTTGGTTAGGGACGTCAAGAAGAGGCGCTGTTTTTGCGAGTCCCACTTTAAAACATACCCCAGGCCTAGGATCTTTCTTTGTCTTACATGGGTGGGCAATGCACGGGCGCAGATGGTTGGGCAACTATGAGCAGGCAGAATTGAAGGTAATGAGTTTGGGGCAGACAAGGAGGCGGGGCCACCCAAATGTCCAATGTCCTGGGCCTGGAATTTTCTTAGTGTTTCTGTCAGCTGCTCAAACATCTTGCATTCCTGATACGGGGAGCTGCAGATGCCTGGGAGCCAACTCTGACTTGCATGGGGTTCTCTTCCATTGAGGGCACTTCCTTTTTTGATCGGTTGAATAAAGGGGCATTGGTTCTTCATGCAACAAGTCCCAGTCGATGCAAGCGCAGGTGTATGTGCACCTTGGCTGCAGATTGCTTGACTGACGGCTGAGGTATGCTGGGTGTGGTTAAGAGATCCAACCGTCTATTATCCACTTAGACGGAAAAATCACTCATGTCTTTAGCCGCGCAGCAGAGCAAGGGTAGCTTTGTGGCTCAGCTGTGACAGCAAGTGAAGTGCAACCAGGTTGGATGATGGTGGAGAGACCGATTTGGACTTGGGCAACTACGAGCGCATGATGTATCTTTCGCTGGGCAGGCCTTCCCGCTGCGTTGGCACGAGCAAGCATCCAACTGATCCTGCATAACATGGAACCTGCAAAAGGCTCCTTTTGGAGGAGGCACCTCTAATACACGGGGCTAAATAGTTACACACACGTAATTCCTCTATCATCCTGACTGACAAGTAGTTTTAAGCTACCCCGCAAAGCTTCCCTTGTCAATCGGTCGTATCTTCTGCAATGCAAGTACCAGGGGCAATAACTTGACCACGGGCAAGATCTACGAGTCAGTCATCAAGAAGGCTGAGATGCTCACGTCAGCATCATTTCTTCGATCGGTGCTTGATCAAATTGCAGGAGCGTGAAGGCAAATATTTGGGCAAGACCGTCCAAGTGATCCCGCACATCACCGGGGCCATCATCGAGTGGATCGACAGTGCCGTGGTAGGGCAATCCCAAGATGCTCAGGTTTGCCCATGTGAAGAGGCGATCCCGGCTCCGCTTTGAGGTGTTGCTCAGAAATCCGTGGACGGCTCCGGCCTTCGACCGCAGATCTGCGCTTTGGCAGATGGGAGCGCTACATCCTTTTGGAGGGCACCCCAAAGCTTTGCCTGTTGGTTTCCCTCCAGGGCGAGCCACCCGGTCACCCAAATGGCCATGGGTCAAAATCCGAGCTGTGGCGTGCACCGGGGCCCACTCCCACCGCTGAAATGTTTAGGTCCCAAGAAACGGGTGGACTACTTCACCAGCCAAAGTGGTACCATTGAAACGGGGGATTTCACCTACTTACCGAAGAAAAATCGGATCGGATCCCAAAACGGTTTTAATTCCCCCACCAACCAAAATCGGATCCCAAAACGGTTTTGACCACCGCCAAGTGGACCGAGGCATGATCGAACTGGGGGGGACCATCGGCGACATCGAGTCCATGCCCTTCATCGAGGCCCTGCGACAGCTCAAGTTCAGCCTGCCGGAGACGCCCGGACTTTCGGGGAGTTTCGGGGTGAATCCCCGGTTTCGAGCCCTTGAGGCTCTTGAGGGTCTGATAAACAACATCTCCTTCAAGTGGGTAGGTCTGTCAAAATAGGTTGTTTGTTGTTTTTTATTCGAAGCTATACCTATATGGTACGTGTTTGTTGGGGCCGCTGTAGTTGCAATCAAGACACATTCAGGGTGAGTTCTGCAAGAGCCCCCGCCAAAATGCTGGGGGGGGGGTGAAGCCCCGGGGGCTTCACCCCCAGCACTTAAATGCCAAGCTGAGGAACTCATTGGCTTGGTGCCATTGCTCCTACATCCCGCTGCTTGACCGCAACTAGGTCCGTCTCCATTTTTTCAGTGCTCCGAAGTTCAAACGTGGCGATGCTGGGCCAAGGCCGATTGAGTTTCCTCTTTCGGGTGATGTCTTTTAGGCCGGTAAGTTTCCTCCTCCCATGTTCTCAGATGGTTTCCACCCAGCCAGTGCCCCAGAGGTTTCGTGGGATTCACAGCCACTACATAGCCGCTGTCTATGAGGGATACACCGGTATACCCAGATTTTTGAGTGGGCAGTGGTTTGGGGGTGGAAACCACAGAAGGTCTGCACGCTTTCTTTGATATAAGGAACATGAGCGGCCAGAAGACGAAGCCGACGCAGCATTCGGCGGGGACCCAAGCACACGAATGTGGGGAATGCTTTTGGGTGCTGGGAACTTCTTGCAACATGTTTCTACTTGGATGTTCGACCCACCTTGCAAGGTACTGGATAATAAGTGTCTAAGAGGTTTTGACCATACCTTTTGACCATACCCCAGAAAATACGAGTTTCAGCATATGTTTAGCTAGTTTGAGCCATGTTTGAGAACGATGGTCGCAAGGTGCGGTGCAAAGCTCTTGGATTAGGGACAGCCAAGGGCGCACCGAGGGTTTAACTTGCTCTGATGGACTCTGTAATTGATGTCATCCCAAAGCCCGAAACAGCCCGAAACAAGTCTGGGATTAAACTGCTGCGTTGATTTCAGTGATGATGCGAGCTCGTTTATTTCGGCTTCCGAACAAGGGTAAGCAACGGGCTAGTTTCGGCCGCAGGGGTCCAATTGGGGCAGTTTGAGGGTCTTTTCTCCCGGGCGAAGAAACAAGTATACCCCGAACCTTGCCAATCTGGGGTATGCTCAAATCAGAGCCAAATTCCCACGGAGCGTGAAGCCTGATTTGAGCATACCCCAACCCCACCATTCCGCCAAAACACACATTCCGCACGAAAGCAGGGGGACCTAGTGAGGGGGTGGGCTTGGGCTTGGGAGGCCAACCACACTGCCACAGTTTCCTACAAAGGGTGCTCTTTCGGTGGTGGAACAGCTTTCACTGCAGTCTACAAAAGCTGATCCGAGTTTCCATCATGTAGAGAACCATGCTGGCCCGTAGTGAGGGATCAAATCAGACGCTAAACAGTTCTTTGAAAGCTCTCCTTGTTCAGTTTGCGTTGGCCCCTTTATGGCAGGCCCCAGTGAGAGTTGACTCACCATGGCAAAAACTTGCGGGATGCAAGTGGAGTATCGGAAACAGTGCCAAAAACGGGTCGGGGTATGGTGAAAAGGAATGTTGCAGGTTTCTTAGAAAGTGGGGTTAATCCCTTAGGAGGCTGTGACCTAAGTGGGTTAAACACTCAAGCAGAGTCGGAATGCGTGCGAGGTGAAAGCTTTGCTGGGACTAGGCCGGCGGGGCAAGGGAGGCGGGGCGACCTTCGACCTCGCGTCAGTCGGACCCTGCAGGTGTTCAGCCTGACATCATCATTTGCAGAAGCCCCGGCCTCGGACTTGCGGGAAAAAGCGGAGAGGGGGGGAGAGAGGGTTAGATGGAATCCTAAGACAAGGCACTGGTATGGTCCTTGGACATCCTCTGACTTGGTCGGGATGGGAATCAACTGCGGAGGGATTGAGATGAGATAACCGTCAAGAGGCTTCAGGGAGGCATGACCGTGACTGATGAAAGACGTATGGTACCATGGCACATACGAGCCACTGAACAAACAAATCAGTACCCTTTTGATCGTTTGGGGAGGACGAGCAGGGTCCGCCAAAAAACTCCACAGAAACCAGGCCTTTTGGGAACGAGGATTGTCCAAAGAGTCGTTTGTTGTCAAGATATCCAGTAGCCATAGTCGACTTGGAGAAACCATGCGAGCCCGGACTCACTCATTTTCCCGAACAAGAGGACTCACTATAGATAGTTACTAGTCTTGCTTGTGGTATTTGGGCAACAGGGATATGGGCCTTCCAACTTGCACGAGCTTGGCAAAGCTCCGAGTCGAGGCCATCCTTTGCATTCTGTTCAAATCTTATAACCACCTGATTGCCCAGTGGGCGTGTGTCATCAGGGAACCCCTAGAAGAGGTGGAAGTGTTGGATGGAGCCAATACCAGGCCCGGATCCAGTGATGGAGGACACCAGGAAGAAGATCGCCAACCAGTGCCGAGCTCATTTGAGGATGCCCCTTTTGGATGTTTTAAAGGGACACCAATGACCAAAAGAAATCCGACATCCATTTTTTGGAGTCCGATTCACATGGCAAACCCATTTGTCCCAGGCTGAAGGGTGCACTCATTTCGAATTTCGCGCTTCCATGATGGGATAGAGCCCCAAACGAGCGTGAGTACTGAGCCTCAAAGACAAGCTGCGGTTCCTGTGGATTTCTGTTGCAACGGGGTGCTTGCCCTTTGGTTTGCATGTCTGAATGCGCAGTGTGCTACAAAATGAAATGTTGAGGGTACCTTTTCGGTCTTTGTCAATGGGAAGCCAAACCCATTTTGAGGGATGCCCCCTCGGGTGAATTTTTGTAAGGCCCATCCCCCAAGAATAGGTTCGAACATAGACGTCATGGGTCCACCATACAGATTCCCCTCCCATGATGCAGATCCTTGGGGATCCACTTCTTCATTTAAAGCCTTGGAATCAAGCAAGCTAAGATTTGGCGGATCCCTTGAACGGGATTGTGTTTTCGGGATTGGACGGCTCGGGGCGGATTGAAGGATTGGCAGAAGCCGCAACGCCAGGTGCAACATTCAGACCGCTCGAATCATCAGCGCCCACGACGTGAATAACCTCTTCCACGTCCCCGGCCCTCCGCTTAGCTCCGCTGCACTCGCAGGTCCGATGGTCTCCAAGTTGAGGGGCGGCTGGTTGAAAGGGAAAACCTCCAAGGGAAAACCAGAAAGGATTCCGTGCATGGGGGTCATCCCTATTTTGAGCCATGCCCATGTCAGGACCTTACTTGGACGTGTGGGCAATCGGGCGTTGAGGGCCTCTCTGTCTCTCTCTTTCTCTCTCTTTCTCTCTCTCTCTCTGTGATACCGGTGGCCAAGTTCTCCTTCAAAAAAGGGTTCTTCCTTGGCAGTCGCTGTGCAGTGCACGTGACATTTGGGCCTCCTCCGTGAGGTCCCAATCAAGCCACTTTAGGCCACTTTGGTATCACTTTCGGGTGACTTCCCATGGCCATGTCGCGAAGGTATGATGGTTGTTTGTCAAAGGTTCCAACATGGATTTCGGTGTTCCTTTTGGCTCCCTTGAAACCCCACCCCAAAAGCAGCGCTGAGGCGCCTCAAACAAAGAGTCCCTAACCATGTTTGTTTGCGACCGCCTTGACTCTCTCGGTTTGGTACCAGTTTTGGATCCTGCGCTGGCTTCGAAGCGAGGCATCTTCGCAGAACAGCACATGGTGGGCTTGCTGAACGGCCTGCTCCGCCTTGGCGACGATCTGGATGTCACCACGAAGTACCTTCCCAAGGGCGGCTTGGCCAAGCCATGGTAAGGGAAACCAAAGGGAAAGCCGGAGAGTTTGGTTGGGGTTCCCCGATTTTTACACACAGCTGAACTTCAAACTGTTGGTATATGTTGGTATGTATGTTATCCGCAAAGGACCGGAACAGTTCCGGCCTTCGAAGTTGCATTTTGCGCACTCGATGCTCGCGTGTTCGCAGGTCGCCCGGGAAGCTTGCGCACGCTGAAAGACTGGCAAAAGTTCGCCAATCGGGTGGATCAGGCTCGGAATGCTTGTTGGGTGAATTGTGAGGCGGCCATCAAATGCTTTGTCAGCCTACATCGGGGTCCATTTACAAACCAATAGCTAGGCCCTGGTTGATGTGGGCTCCGGCCAACCCTGCAGAAATGCTCGACCATGTGGAATGCAATTACAAACAAAGCTTTACTTGCTCGCTACATTTGGCGGTGGCAGTTGCCTGGATGTGATGGGACTTCCAGGAGACAACGCCAGCGGTGACCAGTTGCCAAAAGTCGGGGGGTCCCATGCAGTGAGTCTCCCATCGCCTCTCGCTGCTTTGGGTTCGACTTTTGCACCCAAAGGGTGGGGACCTTCTTGTGATACGGCTTCAGGCTGCCGTATCCCCGCCAGTGACCATTGCCTTTGTGGGGAAGTACAACAAAGGAGGCGCGGACCTCAGCTAGACGGATGGAACTTTTTGGTTTGTTTGACCCCTCTTGAATTTTAAGGGGAATGCAAAAGGCAAAGCCATCCTGAAGTTGCATCATTTCTTGGCCTTTCGACCAGCAAGAGGTAGGGGTCTCGTCAAGATTAAGGATTGCCAGCATCGCGTTAAACGGTTCCAGAGTCTTGGCCTTCGCACCCTCGGGTTCCTGTCCAAATATGTCTGAAATCAAAGCGAATTGGACAATGAGCATTTATAAGTCCCCACATAGGGCTTGAGCTGTGGCGCTGCAAAATATGCGACAAAGGTAGTTCATGGGGATATATAAAAATATGTCAACATATTATATATATATGCACATATTACTCATATATATATATGTATCACCCATTGCCAATTGCGCCCTGTTTTAAGACAATGTCCTTTCTCAAAAGCCCTGCCTCATTCTCGGGCGACCCGACTGTTGGAGCTTGAGGTGGGGATGCCTATCAGTCCGTCATTGCTGCGCTGGAGCACGCAGCAGTGGCTGTGACCCGAGACTTGGCAGATGAGCCACAATCACAACCCGGGCAGATGAAGGTTCGTAAGGGGCAATCCCGGCCATGAATAGCTGCCGCATGCTGCCGCCTTCTTAATTCTTTGCATGTTTCTGGGTGGACCGGGTTTTCACCGGGTTTTGAGCAAGTGACTCAGATGGATGCGCGGGGTGCAGCTGAAGCTGTCGCTCACCAGGGAGATGTCCGGGTCCGTCGGGTGGTTTTTCAGAGCAGAAGAGCCGGTGGGATGCTGCTGCGGATCCCCTTGACATCCCTTGACATGGCGCAATTGATGGATCTACGCGTTCTTGCTCAGCCGCATTCTTTAGGGCTTCGCCTTGCCTGTCTAAGGAAAGCTGAAGATAGCCGATGCCTCAGCAAGCAAACATGAGCTCTGGAAGGCCCATTTCATTGACATCAGGGTTGCAAGCCGGAGTAACATTGGCTTGGCGCTGGTTGATCTTGCGTTTCTTGCGTTTCCCGGGTCTTTGTTCGCAACCCTTCGTCCTCCGATTCGATTCGGTTGGGGGTTCGGCGGATGTCAGGAGTGGGTCGATGCAACCGATCTGGAGCTGCCGGGCCCGGATCATCCGAACTTCGAAGCGCAGAAGCAGACGGTGAAGACCACCGAGGCGCTGGCTGTCGCGAGCTCGCTGTTCTCGATGTCGCGAGTCAAGAAAACGGTGGGAGCTGTTTGTTTCATTGAGGCTTGGTAGGTCCTTGCTGGGGTTGGTTTAAGCGGAAGCCAAGAAAGGAACACCAAAATCCAGTTTGGGGGGTTCCCCCCAAACTAAAGACTCGCACACGCGAGTTTCCCAAGATCTCTTTGCGAGCCACTAAGAACAGCGGGCAGAGCCAGGATGACACGTTCAATGTTCAGCTTAGAGATCCGATCGCGTTGCAATCTGCAAGCTACCTCTGGGTTTGGGGTGGTTTTTCCTGGTTACTTCTATAGTGCCTTGGGTTAAGTAATCCTGGACTTTCTGGAAGAAGCCACCCTCCCTACGTTGTATGGTGCCCGACAGGGGCTCTCTTCAAGAGTTGATCTTCCAGGTATCCAGTTGTGTTTGTAAAAAGAGAACTGGATTATGACACTCCCAGCACAAAAACGGACGGTGCACAGCTGCTTTCTTTTGGGTTTAGGCATTCAACGGATCCACATACGTCGGAGTCTGGTTTCCTGAGAATCTCATGCCGGCATACGTGGACCAGACTCCAAGCGAAGGAAAGACTCGAATTGGAGCTGGGCTCTGTTTCTACTTACGACCGTTCAAAGACTTAAACCCATGTATTCTAGTGAAGGACCTGGGTGTTGGTAAAAGGGGGTCCCCCCCCTCCTCCAAGCAATGAACGCACCTGAAATAGCATCTTGAGATCCAGTTTAATTGAGTTTCCGGTTGATTTAGTATTGGTGGACTTCAGTTTCCACTTGATTTAGGGGCCGGGTTTAAACAAGAGACAACATGTAAGAAAACGGGACAGCTGGAAACTTGGAGATGAAGAGCAAGGTATCAAGTATCCAAGAACCAGGTGTTGGCTTGGCTACCTCTCCTCTCCTTGCTCCTTCTTTTCTTCTTTTTGTTTAAACTGGACCGGGGTGGCGGGTGCTTGACTTTACTCCGGGTGCAATGTTGAATCCTGGGTGGAAACTTTGGAGTCACCCCTTTGACGAGCCATATCACCCTTAGTTGGTGGTTTAGATTGGTGGTTTGGGAGTAGAGCCTGCCTCTCGCAAAATAGTAAATGGGGGCCACAAACCTTCAAAACAAACCAATTGAGAAGCCTTTTGCAAATCATGTTTCGTTGCCTGAATCAAAGATGGTTGTTGCCACTACCCCCGAGGGGTTTGATGGGACATACAACCACCACTCAGGAATATCCTATTAGCCCCTATGGGTGGAAACCCTCGAGTTACGTGTCCAAATCGGTTGGGTGGACCCCCAAAAACGGCAGTTGTTGTTTTGGCTGTGTAGGGTTTCCTCATTTTCACTGACCCCGGTTCAAACCCAGGGTTTCGTGGGCAGAGGCCATCCTCAAAGCTGCGGATGGAATCTTCGTGCCGGGAGGATTTGGCGACAGAGGCCAGCTGCCAGCCGCCGGCTGGGCTCGGAGACCATAGGGGAAGCGGGGACTTTGCCAAGCACCTCGGGCAATTGCCCCAAGTTACTGACAAACAACCTTTTGGATCGCGCATTAGAGATGTTATTGCTAGTTCCCATGGTCGGGGACAAGGCCCAATTTTCCCACATTCTCCGAATCTCACATGGGAGCAACCGTCAATATCCGTCCATTTTTCACTAAGGATGACATTGACATTGACTCACCGAAGTGCTATGAGTGGCACTTGCTGAATCCAAACCTGAGGGCTCCTGAAATGTCCAAGCGACGGTCCAATAAGCAAATCGCATCAAGCGAAGGACCAAACAACTTTCGCTCGTCTTATCCCCGGATTGGTGGGCTCGCTCGCCAGAACACCAGAACATCGGCAGGTGAATTGACCGCCGCAAAGCTCGGACATGCACACCCTTGGCAAGAAAACAAGCCTTTAGGCGCACATGTGTGTGTGTGGTTTCTGAGAGTAGCCTTTTCCCCTTGATCAGGGATGTTCGGGTCCAAATCCCCATACATCGGGTGCACGCGCATTCCAAGTACTGGATAGGTGTGGAGGGCAAAGCCAGGGCGGCCGGCCTGGCGTCGCGGCCTCAGATTTCAAACCAATTTTCACGAGCAGCGCTCCGCACCCCAAAAGGGCAATTTCAGAGGGGGGTTCTACAACCTAGTTTCAGGGGACCCCAGCGAGGTCTATATCAACTTCACCATCTCGAACCCAAAGTCGATGGGTTTTGGGCGCTCAAATGGGCAAGGTGAAACCATTTGCAGACATGTTTCGCCAAAATGGTTTAACTAATTGTTTCGCTCATGTTTCGCTCAGCCACATATACATTAATGAATACATATATATACATATATGGTACCCCCCCCCCCCCAGGGACCTACCTTTTTGATGAATTCACTGGTATTTGCAGTGTTTTCTACCCTTTTTTGGGCTTTGGGGAGAGCAATGAAAAAGAAGCATTTCCAAGGACGTTCTGGAAGCTTCAGGCTTGATTGAAACCGATTTAAACCGATTTAATTTACATCGGGCATGGATTCAAGATTCAAGATTCAAGAATCCAGGCCAAACTTTTCCAGGGATTCTTGAATCCAGGCGTCGATTTAAACCGATTTAAACCGATTTAACTTAAATCGGGCATGGATTCAAGATTCAAGATTCAAGACTACCTGGAAAAGTTTGGCCTGGATTCTTGAATCTTGAATCTTGAATCCATGCCCGATTTAAGTTAAATCGGTTTAAATCGGTTTAAATCGACGCCTGGATTCAAGAATCCCTGGAATAGTTTGGCCTGGATTCTTGAATCTTGAATCTTGCATCCATGCCCGATTTAAACTTAAATCGATTTAAATCGGTTTAAATCGAGACCCAAATTCAACATTGCACTTTGCGCGGCTGTACTTTAGCACAGTGTTGTGCAAGCATCCAAGTCCTGATTATTCATTCAATCTGTTTCAATCTAGGCCCACATGCAAGATTGCAGGTCAAAGTTTTCTAGGGAATCTTGAACCCAGGCTCAACTGAAATTTCAGTCGGTCTCAATGGGTTTCACTCGGGCCTGGACTCGCGTTTGCAAAGAAGACTTGTCTAGAGAATATGGGTTCTTTCCTTATCAAATCCTGTTAAAGCTCATATTGAATTGCAAGTATATATTGGGAAAGGAACTCTATTAAAACTCGCAATCTCAAATTTGATTACCATTAGGATTCTGACCAAATATTTGCGTATTGAGTCCCAATTACATCCTGTTCAAGTTCAAATGAGCATTTAGAGAGCGTTCGTTGGTGGAGATATGAATTGAGTATGAAAAGCGCTACACAACACTGTGTTTTACGGTTTTTTCTGACCAAATTAGTGTTAGGACTAGTGAAAGACACAAGTTTGGGACCTTTGGATTCTTTCCTTATGCATTCCACTTAGTATGTTTTATCAAATTCAACCTTATTTCTGATTGAAATTCAATGGAGCTTAAGAAGGACATACTCCAGCCAAAATTGCGATTTAGATTCGAACTTAAATATTGACTGTTTATGTCAAATCATTTTCTGTCCAATAGACCATTGTACCTTGAAATTCAATCACTTTCAGAACTAGCTAGTCCTAGTTTGGTCCTAGTCGTAGTTGGGAGATCCTTGGTTATAGGCCAAGTATGGTCCCAGCTTACTGAAATACATAGAACGTATAAAGGACATTACAAAGGAAGTTCGTTATGAATTGTAGTTAATATATTAGTCAAGTTCTATGCAACTTCTAGCTGAACAATTGAATTTGAAATAAGGAGAATATCCAGTCAGAATTTACATGTTAGGACCAAATATTGAACAGGACTTTTTTTTTCCACCAGAATGTAATACTTGACATCCAAATACTATAAGAAGTAGAATTAAATGGTCTAGTCCTAGTTTGGTCCTAGATGAGAGATCCTTGGTTCTAGTGTTAGGTTGCTCCCTAGTTTACTGCAACAATTAGAACATATACAGGACATTGCAGAGGAAGTTCTACTTGAACTTCATTTTTTGTAAGAATCTGAGGTGGGTCGTCTAGTCCTAGTTTGGTCCTAGTCCCAGTTCACAGATCCTGGGTTCTAGTCTCATTTGGTCCTGGTCCTAGTTGAGAGATCGTTCCTCCCAGTCCTAGATGGGCAATTCATGCACTGGAGAGGCAGCCAAAAGGTAGGTCCCTGGGGGGGGGGGGTAGCATATATATATATATATGATTATATATGCATAATATGCATAAGAGTATCAATTTTGTTACTCTGATTTGGCTGGAAAAGGAGTTCGGACCATGGCAACATGGGTTCAGAATGGGTCCGATCGGGCCTTCCAAAAACCGTGCGTGCAGAGCTCGGCCAGCCCCTTTCACAGTTGAAACCACCGGGCTCTTTCAGCGACCTTTCGGGTTCCCTGAAGGAACCGGGAGCTGGCTGTTTCAGCACTTTTGTGGCGATTGCAAGCGAGGCGAGAATGGAAGAAGCCCTACCTTGGAGTTTGCCTTGGAATGCAGGCGGGCATGGCATGTTTCTGTTTGAGGGGCGCAGGTACGTGTGTCGGGCGTTTGAAAGGAACCACAAACGATTCATGTCGAACGGTGTTGAGTGTCCACGTTTTCGCGGTTCAAGGGAGCCACAAGAGATGAAAAATGCCTGATCTTCAGGGGGGAGGTGGGGACAAGTGTTTTGTTGAGCGCGATCAGGGTTTATTTGAGGATCGGTCAAAGTATCCAGTAGTGCATGGTCGTTTTATTTTCGGGACAGATATGGAGGGCTCTCTCTGAATTTCCCGAACAGCTACCCGTAAGTCTGACCCCTGTGGTTTCTGTGGCTTCCCTTGACATAAAGCACAAATCAGATTTCCTCACCAACCACAGCGCTCTCTGTGTGTGTGTGTGTGTGTTTGCGTGTTTGTTTGTGTTTGTGTGTTTGCGTGTTGGTGTGTTTGCGTTTTTTTTTTGAGGGCATCCTGTTTGCGGGACGGGAAAGCCACACTAAAACAACAACACGCACACACACCTCAATTAAACCCTTTTCGGGTTTGAAAACTGGTTTCCCTTTGCAACCAAGCCAAAAACCGGTAAGCCACGAAAAGGTGTGCCCTGTCAGGTGGCGCTGATCAACTTCGCCAGGGACCTGCTGGGTCTTCCTGACGCCACCAGCGAAGAGTTTGACTCGCAGAAGAAGCGCACGCCTCGGAGTTGTGTTGCGCTTGCGTGAAGTTTGTGTCCTTTTGATCTCTTAATGGGTTTGGGGCAGAAACATTGGGTTCATAGGTGTCTTTTGAACCATTTGGTGAGTTTGGTCAATGAAAGTAAATGGGTCGACTGCTTTAGATGGGCTTTATGCCATCCATTTACCATGGAAACCCATCTATTTCAAACCGGAAGTCACCTGTGGTCCAATGGTGGTGTTTTGGTGTTATGGTGCCAAATCACTAGGGTTCGTTTTGGGGTGGGAACCATCTTGGCTCATTTTGAGTCTGTTAGGAATAAGTTTCTGCAGCCTCCGGACTCAAAGGACAGTTGAACATGTGTCTGAAAAGGGGGCATGTCCTTTGATTAGTTGAGGACACCCCCTCTTTTGTGGCAGAAAAGCAAAACCCGCTTCCTGTCTAAAGTGGAATCCGCTAGAAGCCTTGTGGAATTTGTGGCGTGCCCAGTTCAGGTCGAAGAACCACGTCATCATCTTTATGCCAGAGATCTCCAAGGATACATGATACATCTAACGTCCACGAAACAAGTTCCGCACAAGTGAGCAAGTCAACACCTGGGTAGACATGGATGAGTAAGGCACCTGATTATTTTATTGGTCTGAACACAGACCGGGCAAGCCCTTGAGGAGACCAGATCGTATTTTGAGAAACCCTCACATGAGTATGTGGCAAAGTGGATGACCCCCATAAATATTTCTCCCTGTGGTTTCCTTTTAAGGGGGGGCTGAACAGTCATTTGGGTGTATCTTTCCCGCAAAATGGTTGCTTTCCTTTTTTTTCCCTTTTGAACCACCAAACAAGGGGGGGTGCCAACTCCCAAAACAGACCCACCCGTCTCCCAACAAGCAGATCCCTTTGGCTAGGAGACCATGGGCGCGAACATGCGGCTGGGGGCGCGGTGGGTGGAGTTCACACAGCCGGAACAGTCCCTGGCGTCATCGCTCTATGGCCCCTTGGGCCAAAAAAATGCGACAAAGCGTAGGCGCAGCCCAAGGGCTCGTTTTTGGGCACCTTGGGCACCTTGGGCACCTTGGGCACCTTGGGCACCTTGGGCACCTTGGGCACCTTGGGCACATGTGCCATCAACACGGGTCATGGTCACGATCTCTTAAAGAAGAGTTGGGTAACGCGCGCAGCCAAGGTGGCGCTCCACGCATCATGGAACGACACCGGCATCGTTTCTTGCCAGAGTCAGTTGCGCCATGGTCGGACTGTGTTGCCTAGGCTTAGTTGGGTGTTTGGACAAATGTCCATCAGAAGACGTATGAAAGGAATCATCATGGCGTTAGCATGTGTGCTGCGTTTGCAAGGTTTGCCTTCTTCGGTTTCGGTCCAGAGTTTCGACCAATTCTCCACTCATATTTGCCTGAAGGTCCGTGCTCCAAACATGTAGCGCCTTTGCTTGCGAAAACCAGCGTTCTGCACGGCCTGAGCACTACAAAGAGCCAACCCCTTATTGGACGAAATGCATTGAACAACACCACCCGGTTCATGGAATCCCAACCAGAAGAGCAAACCTGGGTAGACAAATTCGCCACCAAAAGATGAGCAAGCCTAGAAAGACAGTTTGTCACAACTTTCTTCCGGATCTTTGGAATTCTTTGTTGCCACCACCGTTTGGCCGCCGGCCACGCCGTGTTTTCCCAACATCGGGCGTGATTGGTTTTGCCCCTCCCTCCAGTGTCTTATTTTTTCAAGGTTCGGCCCCAAAAATGGCGGTTTCTCACACCCACAGCATGGTTCTCTCCAACAAGAAGCCGAGCCACCCAGTTGTCGCCGTTGGAAATGCAATGCTCGACTGGTTTACCGAGGCTATGAGTTCAACATTGCATACAAAGAGCGCATGGAAGCGAAGGGATTGATCTTCTCGGGCCAAGACGAGACCAAGGACGGATACGCGGGCGGGTATTCGGGCCAGAGGGCCCAAGTGCTTGACGCCTCGGTGTTGGGGGATGGCAACCCCGCCCAAATCGCTTCTTCAGTTTGGATTCTGGCCACGGCAATGGAGCCCTCTCATTGTGTTTGGGCATCTGGTTTTTGTGTTTTGAGACGTCGTGGTTTTTTTTGTTGTTGTGTATCAATTGTGGTTGCATTCATTTGTTTGGCCGAGAATCAATGTCACGAGCTTGCGCCAGGAGCGCATGGACATCATTGAGATGTCGCCCAAGGACCGGAATGAGATGATGAGAATCTCGAACGCCCCAAGTTGCGGGACCTGGGGTTTTCTTGGGATTCCGGAGATTCGCAGATGCGAGAGGAGCATCCTTTCTTCATGGGTGTGCAGTACCACCCAGAGTACAAGTCCCGACCCGGGCAGTGGGGAGCTGAGTGAAAGCGGAACGCGCCTGGCAGTCGACGTTGACGAAGCCCAATGATTGAGGCAGGGCTCCTTAAAAGATACATTTTGCCTTTGAAACATGGCTTTTTCAACACCAAAATAAAGGGAAACCACCATTCACAAGCCAATGTTCAGGTGTATAATGTAAGGATCCCTGTTGAGGCTGGGTTTCCAACTCTTCGGCAGTTTTGAGCGATGTCCGAAATCCCAAGAGTCCAACACATCCGCAGGGGTCTCATGGATTTTAGAGACCCGGTTGATCAACCCCCCTCCATCCACGAGGGTCAGGAATATGTGTTTTCTTTTGCGTGTACATTTTGTGTCTGTGTGGAGCCAAACCCATTTGAGCCCGGGTTGGAGGGTCTTAAGGGCAGCCCAATGGGCGGGGATTTCCGTCCTTCTTTTTTAAGCCTTGGGGGTTGACCCTTTGACAAGTTCCATTTGTTCATAGACCTTAAGGCTTTTCGACACGCCTGGGATCCACAGGGCTTCATGCCAGGTCTCGTGGATGTCAAAGGCGGACCCCAAAAATGATGTTGTTCCTTTGGGTGCCCCTTTAAAACCACCCGAATTCAGGGTTGCCCGGTTTACCCCTTCCTTCGGCATAGCCTCCACGGCTCATTTCGAGGCCATCGCCTGCCTTCTATGGCTTTGTGGCTGCCGCCAGCAACCCCACCCAGGCGGGCCAAAAGATTCCAG